GTTTTTTGAACTTTTGAATTTCTTTAATCAAATCGTGATTGAAAATAAGAAGAAGATGCTAGTTATTCGAATTGGCTATTTATGTGTGGCTAAAGCGCATTTTCAATGTCAAAATTCAAGCATCTTTGTTTTAAAAAGTAAACGATCAAAAACTATTTGAAAAACAACTGCAATCGCAATTTTGAATCGGTTTAATCGGAGTGCCTAACAACATAACGAATTTTAAAATTTCGAAACTTCATTTTTACGAACTCACATTTTTACGAAAAATTATTTTTTTTTATAAATTTCAAATTCTGAAATGTCGTTAATTTCATCACGTGTTCTCTTCAATAATAAATCTGCAAAAAAAAAGATTAATAGAACAAATGTTTTTAAATGTATGGAATTAAAACGTATTTTTTATTCAATATCTTATTCATTGACTACATGTGTATGTTTAAAGGAGTAGCAAACAGAAAAAAATTGTGTCCATCGAAATGGATATCGGCAAATATTGGGCTGGAAAGCCACAAAAGCATAGAATACCAGGTTTTGAAAAGACAGAGAATTCCATTAAATCAATCCTGAACCATCGACAATCCGTGCCACGAGTTGAAACATTAAAGGCTATTGAAGTAGTCAAAAATGATTTAAGAGCTTAATTGTGTTTGTTACTCCTTTAAACATACACAATACGAAAAATACGTTTTAATTCCATACATTTAAAAACATTTGTTCTATTAATCTTTTTTTTGTAGATTTATTACTGAAGAGAACACGTGATGAAATTAACGACATTTCAGAATTTGAAATTCATGAAAAAGTCGAAAAAACAATTTTTCGTAAAAATGATATGGTCGTAAAAATGAAGTTTCGAATTTCTGAAATTCGTTATTTTAATAGGCACTCGTTTAATCGGTTTAGATGACAAACAGACAAAATTGAACTTTATAAAATTATGAAATAACAGCTAAAAGAGTAATAATGTTAATACACGTCCAATACAATCGACTTATCTTCATTTATTCAGTACATAAAGCACTGAAAGGAGAGAATAAACAGTACAGAGCCTAAACACGATCATTGTTGACGTGAAATAATTTGAAATTTGAAGAGAAATGCTGGAATAGAATGAATAATCTTTTCGTGGAATTCAGAGTGAAAGCTACAAGCTGCTGAGTAGCTTTTTATGAATAAGAAATAATTTTCTTTTTCTTCATTCGCGAGACATCTGGATTTATTTTTGCATTCATAACATTTACATTCCTCGATATTATATATATAAGAAGCATAAATTCAGTCGGGTTGACAGACACAGCGCTATGTCGACTTATCGTAATTAACCGGATATGATAGTAAAGAATGAGAACGCAAGAACGAAGGTCTAAAATTATGAAAAATTAAAATAAATAAGTAAGTGACCATTCTTGTGCAGTGAACAAGCCGAACCGAGCACCTTTACATGATCATCATCACTTTCATTTTCAATGAGTTTGTGTCTAGTAGTCGCATTGAAGTTTTCTTCTCCTTTTTGAAAATTGTGACTAGATCCACACTCATTAAAAATGGCAGTGGCATAATTATACATCAATCTGTTGCGGCTGTTGACGTTTTCATCGAAGAGAAGCATCGGAGCACGAACAAGAAATTTCCACAACTACACGTAAAGCAACAAAAAAAAAACTCGAAATCTTTTTTTCTTTTCCTCTGTTTCGCGGTTTTTTTCTCGTTCCTGTGCATCTCACTCTCTGGTTATTTTGTTTTGTTTACTTTTTTTGTGTATAAATTTCCACAACAGTTGTTTATGTTTTTACAATGCATTGCATAGTGCATTGGCAGTTGAAAATTGCGCAGTTATAATATGCCATGTACATACATAACTTTATTTCATTCTCTTTTTTCCTTCTTTCTTTTTCGATACTCTGCTATTGTATCAAATATAAAGTTATGTATGGGGAGATCACAAAAGCGAAACGCCAAACGAAGAAATTTTTATGTTCAACTCTTTTGTTTTTGAATTGATGTAGCAAAAATTGTTCTTAATGAATTTAATTAAGGCAAGGGTATCAATTGGCAGTACTTTGTAGTGACTTAAATTCTTTGAGATCTCAACGGAATTTCAGAATTTTGAACTTTCCAATAATTTAACGGTTTTCAGAATTTTGAATTCCACAGAAAAGTAATAAATTTCAAAACTTAATTTAACGGTTTTGCTTAATCTCTTTCAAAACACAAATTTTCAATAAACTGTTGACATGTACACAGGGGCGTAGCCAGAAAATTTTTAAGGGGGGGGGGGGGGTCCCCATTTTCGAAAATTAAAAAACCGTTATTTTGTATCCTTAAATCTATATTCATTCTTCATAAGTTTAAATATTTAATTTATTATTCATACATTAAATTTAATTTTTCGTACTGATTTTGACATTTCTTTCATCACTTCCTCTACATTAACTGGTTCTTCTCTATTAATACTTAATAAAACAATTATCAGATTTTCGTAGGGGGGGGGGGGCGGGCCCCCCTATGGCCCCCCTGGCTACGCCCCTGCATGTACAGCCAAATAAATCATCCATAACTACATAAAAACAGTACAAATCAAAATAATTTCGAAAGAGATAAATGCACAAAAAATTACTAATAAATCAGATATGCTCGTGATGCAATTGCATAAAGTATCGTCTTCGAGTGAGAAAAGTATGACATAGAATTCTCATCGCCTCTCAATTGCCATTTATGCTTTGTATAAAAGAGAAAATTGAGCACAAAAGGTCAATCGAAATTCAATTCAAATCATTCAATGTTACGGTACTTGCCATGATCTAATTCATGTACTATTGTGAAATTGACGTGTACATGAGTGGCTTGCTGGTTTGACTAATTGTGTATTTGGTGGTTTTCTTTCATCCTATTAACTGCTTTGTAAGTTGTGGCTAAGGGATGCACAAATCAACCATGATTAGGAAACAAGTGATAAAATTCAATGGAAAGGCGCTTCATAACATTTACAGTATTAAGTACCAACTCACAGGGCGAGTATGAATCTAGTACACGGTTCAAGACGACATTTCAGTTTCCTTTAAAGCCATGAGAAAATATAAAATTTCCCATCAAATGACATTTAAGTGTTGTTATGTAGCAAAAAAATAAATAGAGGGAATTGAAATGATTTTCAATTTAATATTCGTGACTAGATTATATGCTCGTCTCTTAAGTTGGGAAGATAGCTTGCTAAAGATGAACTTCCTTGCCTTCGTATATATTTTTTTTTTGCTTTCTATCTTCGAAGCTCATTAAAAAGTGATTTGAAAGTTAAATAATATAAGAAAAAATAGTTTGGTGTGGTAGGAAGCAAACACGATCATCAAATGTGGAACAAACAATGAAAAGTAAAAGGAACAAGATCATCAGACATGCAATATTGCCACCAAAGAATCATATTCTAACGTAAATTTGCTACAATTCAATAATAATGATAATTACTAAATTATTATGGAAAAGAGATGAAGCATCACGTAAGAAACAGCATATGGAATAGAAACATCTCAAGATGAACAGTCAATGATGCTTATTCTCTCTTATTCTTTGTTATTTCGTCGTTTTCAACGATTTCTTTTTTCTTGATGCTATGCCTTCATCATAGGCTATTCTTTAAGCAATTTTCTTAATCATACATCTTCCTTTTTTTTACGTTCCCTTCCATTCTTCTACACACGGTCTTATAAATCGAAATTCAAGAAAAGAGTAAAATTGAAAGAATGGAAAAATGCTTCAGTGGTTGGATAAAACAATACAGCACGTCGTGAATAGAAGGCAGGGATGTCGGTGGTACTTCTTCGAGATATGGACACTCTTATAATCATTGTGGGAATATCATTTGAACTGTGGTTGAATGTTTGAGTTTTCTAGACTTGTGATGTTGTTGCGACATTATAGCATGTCGTGGATCATTATTTGAGTCACGGATTAGTTTCTAGCGCTTCCCAAAGCTGCGTCCTAGTCTAAGGTAAAGTGTTCTAGAACAAGTCCCAGGATAATGTACAGGAACTTAGTAGAGTCCAAAAATAACATCGAATCTTATTCAAACAAGCATCCCTGCCTCAATTTGATCCACAAACTCATTCAAATCGAACAAAAAATTCTAGATTAGATGTAGACTTGATTACTTACACTTCACCATGAATGATTTTTATTTTAAATTTGATTATTAAGCAAGAAAGAAAAAGAGAATCAATAATAAATGATCATGTTTCAGAATTACATTGTACATTTGACTCTAGGATTTAACGATTCTGCTATTTAAAGTTGCCACATACTAGGTTGAATTATTGATGTTGTAGGATAGACACTGCTAGGTAGAATTATGAGGTAAAAAGGAAAATACGTTAAAAAAAGCTGATCATTGAATAATGTGATGGAATCAGGCTTTGTGAAGGAACAAAAAAAAGGTTGAAAAGGTAGTTTTAATGCCTTTAGAAATTTCTAGAGATTTCATGCCTTGTAGCCAGTTCCGTATAGTGAAACATTGAATGGAACAGATCATTAAGTCTTAAGTCTAGATTATTTGCATTTTATTCATCATAAAACTTTATTGCACTGGCAAGCAGCTTGATATAATTAACAGCTTTATATTAATTTGATCTACAGCATTTAAGTGACTTTCTATAGATCAGGGGCTGAATTTGGAGTCGGAATCACTCTAAATTGATTCCAAATCCTCATTCATATATTTTTGACATCCTCCCTGCTATAGATTAAAGACACAGCATTAATTAAACAGTTTTATTTACTTACACTTCCTTTAATTTCTTTATACTTTTTTTTGCCAATTCTTAAGTCCATGAAATTGATTATAACAGAAGAGAAAGAGCCAAAAGAAACAATAGGAATATAAATTTATATTTTTTACTTCCATAAACATTAAGATGGTAGAAGATAATAAGCAGAAGAAGCATAAATTCCAAGAAAAATTTAACTTACTGAATATAATTTTGGAAATTTCTTTTCTTGTTCCACAGAATGATAAAAAGTCAGCTTCAAGACTACATATTGGTACCCCTGATATGAAGTCAACGAATACCTTTAGTCCTGTGAGCTATTCACCTTTGTAAGTATTGAGTCATGACTTTATGTTTTGTGTATGTCTTTGTAAGGAAAAAGAAGGTAAAATTGAGAGCGAAAAAGAGGCTGTTATGATTGGAATGTACTCGAGACTGTTTCTTTTTCTGTTTTATTGAATTGTCTGAAGGCTGACTTCATTTTGAGTTCTAGATATGCTGTTTGTTTTTTTGAATTGAGGATTTGATGTATAAATCGTGTTTAGATTAAAATGTTAATCTACAGATTTAAACTAAATCCAATGGATTAGTTCTTAATCTCGAGATTAATTTTTAATCCATTGGATTTAAATCTAATTCAATGAATAATCCTAAATATTTAAACCTCGATTCAATCTCGTATCCATCAATTTGGACTATCCATCCTAGTAAATCAAGTGTTATTCCAAAGAAGAATGAATATTAAGAGTCAATCACATCTAGAATGATGAATTACACACCAAAAAATAAGAATCCTCTCTGTTATAGCTTTTAAACTTGATTCATTCTTCATTATTTACTTTAACCATCAGAACGAATATTTTTTTTGTTGCGTCTTACTGCTTTATTGCTTTATAAATTCCATGTTTAATGTACTTAAAAAAATTGTCTAATTTAGGACAACAACAAAGAGATCACGAATAGAATCAGGCAAGACGGGTAATGTAGTGTGTACATTTGGAAATTTTTCATCGATGGCATCAAACATTGTCAAGAATTCGGAGACGATCGCAACAATAAGTGTTGCGAATTTATTTGGGACACAATGGATGGATGACAAAGTAAAGTTTATGACAACATCAATGAATGATGGACAATATGTGACAGAAAGAATCTTTAAACTTGGTCATGAGTTTTTAAGGAAGATTGTGGTTGATGAGAAGCTTAATGATCAAATTGTATTAAGTCATTGTGATGAGTTGTCTCAAGATAATGTCAAGTGCTTGGGAAAGATCGTCTGTGGAGGTCGTTCTGAGAAGTTGGATCAAAAGTCGTGTACATTTATAGGATTTGATGAAAATAAGCTACGAATCACACAATTAGACATGACACGAATGAAAATGCCAGCACAAATATTCCCAGGTCAAGTATGTGTTCTGAACGGAACGAATCCTAGAGGCAAAAACTTTTCAATCTCCGAGATTCATGCAGAGAGAACACTTGAAAATTGCACATATCCATCACGTTTGACAGAGCCATTAAGTTTCGTGATTGGATCGGGTCCATTTACATCCGATGATAACTTAACATTTGAATACCTCGATAAATTAATTGAAAATTGTCAAAACAACAAGCCTGACGTCCTCATTCTCTCCGGGGCATTTTTTGATGCTAAATCAAAGCTTATCTTTGATCTCGCAACAGAAGTCGATGAGCACTTCCGTAAAATGTTGACCAATATGAGTGAAAAATTGGGTGACAGTACAAAAATTGTAATTGTCGCATCACACGACGATATTAACAGCTCAGCATGCTTTCCCACGCGATCATATGGATTTAGTGGTAAAAAAGGTTTCAGCAATAACATTTTTCTCGCACCGGATCCGTGCATTTTAAACGTTAACGGTATTAAAATTGCTGTGACTTCTGTCGACGTTACAAAACATTTAGCTGACTCAGAATTTTGCATGTAAGTATCGCATTACGATTCACTAATTTCTTGATTCAACACCCTAGAAAAATACAGCATGTACATGCACATTTAACGTCGTTAATATAAATACAGTCGGAGGGTAAAAATTTTATTAATGAATTATCTTACTTTATTATTAAATCAATATGTAGGAATGCGGGCGGTGATAAGATTCGTCGCTACATAAACTATTTATTTCATCAGAAATCCTTTTATCCGCTATTTCCGCCTAAAGTGCCAACTGATATTCGACTATTGCACGAATATGCAACGATTAATGAAATTCCACACATATTTATAGCTCCTAGTGATATGAAATATTATATGCGGGTATGATACAGCACACAACTTTTATGTCTAAAATCATTTTTAATAATGCAATATTTTCAATTTAGGACTTTAACAACTGCTTATGCTTAAATCCTGGTAGAATTAAAAATGAAAATTCTGATGGTACCTTCGCGCGTGTCATTGTTAAGCCACCACCAAGGGAAAATAATGTTAAGGGTATTAGCTCATGGATTTCAGGACAAATCGTCTATCTTTAATTTATTTCTGTATTTTGCTTTTGTGTGATTGTTACTTATCACTTAATAAACTTTTTATTATAATGCACTAATATGCTCTGTGTATTGTCTGTAGCGTAGCTGTTTTGTTGATGTTTCAGATTCATTTATTTTTAAATAAAAACTTCTTGGAAATAATATTTTCATTCATTGTTGCTAATTTCGATTGCGTTGCATTATATTTAGCAATATAATATATGATTTGGTATAATCGAATGTGAATTTGATTTATATGAGTAATCAGCAGTGTAGAACATAAGTTAACAAAAAATCAAAGAAGCTCCTGATTAGAAATTTGGGAAAATACCGTAGATTAAACAATTAATGCTAATCTCATTTCACGTGCTAGATTTCCTTTATCAAATTATTCAACATTATTATCTGATCTGTCCACGCGCTCTAGATAAGTTCTTATCAGTCAGATTAAAGGTAAACCTTTGATCATATTAACTTAGACTCTTGAAACTCTCAAAGGGTTTAAATAAGCTATACTAAGTAAAGTCTACTTAGAAACTGGAAAGAATTTTCAAAGAACTTATATTATGAATCCTAAACCTGTAACTTAATCCACAAAATTTTTTTTGTTCGCTGAGTGAGACCGATAAAAACTGCGGTCGTTTCTGATGGCTTAAACAACTCTGCACAAAAGCATAAGATTCGTCAAAATAAAAATATCTTATTTTTATACACAATATTCATTTATTGCCTTTAGCCCTCGAGTAAAGAAAAAGAAAGGCTAAATTTATATAAGTTTTTTCCTCAAATTTATTTATATACAATTGATTATTTTTTTAGTACTTAAAAATCTCAAACGATTTATTATTATCACGATTATATATCATAGTTCCGATACTCATCATTGTTCTCGGTTGTGTTTTCGAGATTAACAGGTTCAAGTTCTGAATTAAATCCAGCCAATCCCGGCTCCTCATCATCATTCGCTATTCGAATGGTAGATGAGGAGGTCGTTGGGATACTGTGGGTATTTTCAGACTGTTCATGTGATTCACTGAGTGAGTTTGTATTGTCTTCATCACTAGAATCGTCACTAGTGGAGCTATCACTACTCGTTGTCATACTCGAATCGGATGATGAGAGGGCTTCAATATTATATGTGTTGCTATTGCTCTCATCTTCCCGTACCCGAACTCTTAAATGCTGCTCTAATAGAGGTATGATTGGTCGATTTCCTTGAATTTTCTTCTGATTCTGTATTACTCTTTGTATGAATCGATGATGCTGCTCGAGTTTGGCATCACAGGGTAGACATATAACTTTTGGCAGGGGATCATAACGGCTCAACTAGAATGTTCAAAAATCTTAAATTGGTGAAAATTTTGAGGAAATTTTATGACGTACTCACATTAATCTTTAAATATACATTTATTTTCTGTTCTAGCTTCTTCTGTATACCTGAAAAAAGTTTATTTTATTATTAACAATTTTATCAATAACTTCCTTTATGCTTTATTTACCTTCATCTGTGTATATGTGAATTACCTTAAATAAATCAAAATAAATTCGAATTAAATCAGTTTTTCAATATGAAACTGTCAGTTCCTTACATTTCTGTCAATTTGACTACATAGACGACATATAAATCCTTCAATTTTACATTCCAGCATAGACCCCATGATGACTTTAACACTAATTTCAATAAGAAATATTTCAAATTACCTTTTTGTTAATTTTCAAGTAAAGATCAACTTGCTAGCATGCTGCATACACATTATACACCCTATACAGCAGTGCTATTCCGACACAATCAAGGCATACAGTTTCTGTTTGTATGAAGAGGATAAAAACAAGCGTGAAGTTGGTGCCAGTTGAGAAGGCTGTCCATGCGTACCGCTTTAATCTTTGAAAAACCTAGACAGACCAAAATTTAGAGCATTGTCCAAGAAAAAAAAATTAAAAATCGAGGCATTCTTCAAAAAAATAAAAACGTGACTGTCCCGCTAAAAAGTTTGCAGATAGACAGCCTACAGTTGAGAAAACAACAGAGAGAATAATAAGAAAATTATGAGGAACTTGAGAAAGAAAAAATAATAAATTTTTAACATTTAGTTTGTCAGTGGTTGCTCTTAAGGTGAAGTGGTTAAAAAATTGTCAGGCTCAATTATGGAAGAAATTTGTTCTATGCTAGATTCCTATACTGGGAGGGATAAGGTAAGCAATCTCAAGGCAAAGTCCCATTAAACCACAGCACTAGCTATCTCTCTTTTTATATGCAACAATCATTTCCGTCAATCTTCTTTTTATCCACGTTGTCAGTGGATACTTGACACAGAGACAGACGTCAATAAAGAAAAACATTCCTTTCTGTTCTGTATCACTTTCACTATTTATCGTCTATCCACAATAGAAACAGAAACGTTAAAAAAACTGGATATTTTTATATTGTAACAAAATCTATTTCCTCATTCATGCTTTTTGTGCATTAAAAAAAATTGTTTCATGTTCTTTTAAGCCTTCGCACACCTCTTTTTGGTGAATCGACTAATGGACACTCGGGAAAATTTTAGTGTGATATACTTGATTTGAACTAGGCTACTCTTTAAGCGATAAGTGATTCTTATGATAATTAGAATGCTATGGCTTCTTCGGGTTTATATATCTCAACAAGAACAAACTCATAAATGATATTAACTGTCAATAGAATACTTCTAGTGTAAAAGGTTCATTTACTTACTACGTCCGGAAGTAACGATCCATTCGCACTCTTCTTTGATGTCTTATTCAAAATCTCATATGTTGAACAAAACGAAATAAAAATCATTTATTATAGGTTTCGAACCTAAGATCTTAGAATTGATGGAGTTGATTAAATCAGAACCTTTTGATATATAAATATCAGAATATAAATTTAATAAAAGTTATATCATATACTTATACACAACCAGCTAAAAAGCACGAGGAAACTGGTTCAAATTAGTCAATAGAATCAAAACTCAAAAATCAAGTTTATTATGTAAATGGCTAACAGTATCTAAGGTCGGTTGAATGCTAATCAATCCTTCCTTCTTTAATAGATTGTGAGAACATTATGCTACACGGCAAAATTAATGTCAGCTGTTCAAAATGATCGTGGCAATGATGACCTTGCGAAAAAATTTGCAACTTTCTCAACGAAAATGAGTCAAACAAGAGCAAATCTTCGGCTGCTTGATGATCTTCCTATGATTAAATATTCTTTAGAATATGGATTTGGGGAGAAGGAACCAGACAAAATTATGTCCACAATTGGAGTCCTGACAAACGTTATCGATCACCTTTACTATCCAGTAGACAAAATATGTTGGGCGATTGACGCTAAAATCCTCAATGTTAAGAACCCTGACAAATGGGACACATTAAATTCAATATTCTGGACATCTAGCATATACCTGAATTTGATGAAGTGAGTTTTTATCTATTTTTTTGCTTTAGCTAGCCTCGCGATTTTATGTCATCAGTAATATCTTTTTGCCGTACCTTATCTGTGAATTTCTATCAAAATTATACATCGAAGCACTTCTTCCATTAGTTCCTTGTAAAGAACCTTTTCCTTATCAAATGTTTTGAAAGTCACAAATGGAATTTAAATCTCCTAGAAAATCTCTCCGCTGATTAAAAAATTCGATGTATTAAGATTGATTAAAAACTAGTCGCAATTCGTCAAAATTTTGACATTTATAGACATAATAAATTGTAAATTATAATTCTCTTCTTCTATAGGACAATTCGTCTTGTTTATATCATGCGCTTACATCGGCAAAATATTGATAAGATTGAGAACGAGAGCGCGGTAGCATTAAAGAAATTGGAGGCAAAGGAGAGGATGGAATTGATAAGCATTGTCAGATTGTCACTTGATTTTGTTCATGCCGCTTCGACACTTCCTCAAGGTTGGCTTTGGGGTGGGAAATTTTCCACGCTTGCTGTTGGATTTATTGGATCTACGTCATCACTGATTGGACTTTATCAGTATTTTGCGAGGAAGCGACTTGCCAAAAATTGAAACAAGAATTTACTGTTATTTTTTATCATCTTTTTCAAAACAAGTGCCTTGTTGCATGCCAAAAAGACATACATTTGCATTACTGCATTTATCAACAAACTTATAATGACAAAACATTTAGACTATTATGGCTGGTCCTATGTAATATAAATGATTACAGTTCTATGACTTTATGAACTTAATACAAAATTTTAAACAAATTGTAAATATTATTATCGTAGTGTTAATAATGACAAAGATTTCAAATAAAAATTCTATGCTCAAGTTAAATATTTTACCCAAAAAAGCCGTTTTTATGATTTTTATTTGAACCTTATGCTGATTTGAAATTTTGGTTGCCCGTTTTTTTAAAGCCTTTATTAATGGGTGCTTCAACAGGTATAACGATGGACATATCGCCCAACGGAACCTGTTAATTTTGATTCGTCGTACGATTCAGCTTCATTGATCAATAGTTATATTCCATGACTCAGAACCAAACAATACTACTGGGCGTATTAGCGTCTTCTACATCACTAGTTTGGAATTTCTTGCTTTTAAATTGTTACTAATAATCGACTCGAGGTAGAGAAAAGCATTCACTACTTCGAATCTTTTGTTACCAATTGCCAAATGAGACCCAGCCAACTTCCTCGTTCTTTCAGATGCTGCCACCATGAGAAACTTTGTTTTGTCCTCATTCACATGAAGCGCGATGTTAAAACTTTGGTTGACAGTTCATCTCCCTTCCTCTGACCAATCCTGTAATTGAAAACTTACCAGTCTGGAGCCTGATGAAAGAGTGAACTTCCTGGATGAATGAAGCATTTAGATTTATCAAGAGTTTGATATGAATTGTTTCTTAGACCCAAAAATGATGCAGGCTGGCAAGCAATATTTTGAAAGAATCCAGTACAAATTGCCATTTGAATGCGCTCGTAGTTATATCCAGCAGAATAAATTTCATAATTGTACTTTTCCATAATTGACATTAAATTTTCACGAACATCCAGAGCTTCAAATAATTTCTTTTCATTCAAAAAGTTAGTCTTGCACCATTCAACAGAGTACTGATTAATCTCCCACTTCTTAAAGACATTCAGCATTCGCAAATGATCACCAACAGCATGATCGAATTGACTTTTCTTCATATTAGCTATTGCTGATTTCTTGAATGGGCTATAAAATAAGCTTCCAACACTCAACATTGCAACAATTGTAATAACTTCATCCGTGCACTTCAAGCTTACAGACATCAATAGCATTTTAGCTAAATTCGGTTCAATTGGAAGTGCTGCAATCCTTTGACCAATCTCTGTAACTAAACCATTGCGATCTAAAGCACCAAGAAGGAATAACTGCTTTAAGGACATTAAAATATTTTCCTTTTGTGGTGGATCCATAAAATCAAATTCCAAGACATTCTGTACGCCAATACATTTCAATTGCAGAACAACTTGTGATAAATTGGAACGCTGAATTTCAGGAATTGTCTCAGGCAACAGCTCTTCATTGTAAGCCTTTTCAGAATACAGACGATAACACTTTCCAGGTGCTGTTCTTCCAGCTCTACCTAAACTTTGATTAGCTAAAGCCTGAGAAATCGGAATAATTGTCAGCATGTCCATTCCTGTTTTTGGATCATTGATCTTTTGTTTCGTATATCCTTGATCAACAACAAACTTAATTCCATCAATTGTCACAGAAGCTTCTGCAATATTGGTAGCGATAATGACTTTACGGCTTTCTTTTGGTGCTGGTGTTAAGACATCACTTTGCATGTCAGGTGGCAATGCCGCAAACATAGGAAGGATTATGAGATCAAGACGGAAGCGGGACCTATTTAAAGATACATATTCTTCTAGAGCGTCACATGCACGCTCAATTTCATCTTGTCCTGTTAAGAATAACAATATATCTCCGTCTGGTTCTCGCATTTGGATGTTTAAGACAGTGCTTAAGGCTGCATTCAAATAATCAGATACTGGATATCGATAGTAGAGCGTCTCAACTGGAAATATTGATCCCGGTATTTGAAGAACTTTAGCATTATCAAAGAATTTAGCAAATTTAGCGTAATCTAATGTTGCTGAGGAAATGACTATACGAAGCTTTGGTCGACGCTTCACTGCTTTCTTCAACAGTCCAAACAAAACATCAGCATTCATAGATCTTTCATGTGCCTCATCCAAAATGATAACGGAATATGTATCCAAATTGGCATCTGATAAGCATTCACGAAGTAAAATTCCATCGGTCATGTACTTAATGATTGTTTTTGGATTAGTGTGATCATCAAATCTGATTTTATATCCAACTTCTTGACCAACAAGACATCCATATTCATTTGCAACACGCGTAGCAACGCTCACAGCTGCAAAACGACGTGGCTATGTACATGCGATCTTACCTTGCAAAATAAAGCCTGCCTCAATTAGATATTGAGAGATTTGAGTGGTTTTACCTGCAAAGCAGATAGTGTCAATATGTATTTTGTCAACTTTAAGGCCACTATGTCTATAACTTTACCTGAACCAGTTTCAGCGATCACAATTGTTACTGGATTTTTACTTACAGCTTTAATAATGGCTTCTCGAGAGCTGAAAATTGGCAACGATTCACGTTGTTCCTTAATTGACATTTTGCATCGTTTAACATAATTGATTGAGGATGGAGACTTCTTTGGAACTACTGATGATATACTCAATTTTTCAAATGAATGATAAAGCTGCTTTGGCTTTTCCCAGGAACTATCAAAGCCACCCTCAACAAAATAAAATGTATTTGTTACTGGATTTTGCATTTTTGCAACTTTAGCCATTGAACTGTGTTGGTTCCGGAAGATATTAATTTGTTTGGGAATTTTCGGTGAGATGACACTATTTGATAAACGCTTAAGGAATGGTGTCGATAATAAGATCAATAATTACATTAACCTTTGTAGCTGATCTTGAATTAGTGAATTGAGCAATTTCTCTACGACCAGGACTAGCTACACGAATCGTGCGTTTTAGTTCCTTATTCTCATAATTACACTGATGTTTATTTGCTGGCTGTTCGACATTTCTGATTGTCATTGACAAAAATTGGTTTGCGTCTGACACAATTCCCATCAACTCCAAATTATGAATAAATCCCTCAAATGGCTTGCTAAATCCATTCAATTTCACATTTAATCCATGCTTGTTGACGTCTGGTATGGTTCCCATATATAACTTATTAACTTCTGGATGCAACATTTTATCAGATTTTTAAGTATTACTCGCTGTTTTGAGCTCAGCCTAAACAGTTTTATGCCTTAATTGCTGAGTTTTGAGAGATAAAGTCCAAAAATTAATAAAACATTTTAAGTAAAACTGAAAACTTGAAAAATTCTCTTACTTCCTTAATTCAAGTAGCTTTCAACGACTAAATGCTTATTGCTGAAGCTTTTATGAGTAGATTTATGTATTGAAAACTTGTGGAAACTCTTTTTTTCTCAATTAATTTTAAATTTTCTTATTTCCACAAAAATGTGTGCTTAATTAACAGTTTGAAATGAAAATTTGAAATTTATAAATTGATAAATTTTAAAATTCAAATTTTACAACTCCGTTATTTTTGAATATGTCTTGCTGTTACTTTTTGAGTAGGTAACTTAAAGAGACTTAATTGCCATTTGTCACTTCTTCATCCTTAATTCATTTTATTTAAACTACCCGTCTTGAAGTTGACTCTAATGTTGTTTTTAAATCGTCTTAATAGTTTTGTTTTGAAAAAGTTAAAATTAATATTAAATCGAGATATAATAATGTATAGCGACTGGAGTTATGGATTAATTAAGGTAGTCAATGAAAAGAGGAATATCCTATTGCAGTCTGAGACATTGGCAGTGATCAGAGACAGTTTTCCAAAAGCAACATTTCATTTCTTGGTAATTCCATTTGACGATGATTTAGACACGATTTATGACTTGAACGATGGTCATTTGGATCTGATTGATGAGTTTGAGCTGTTAGGAATCAATGTAGTGGAAGCAACAGGCAACAAAGTTGAGAATTTCGCTTTTGGATTCCATGCAAAGCCGTCAATGAGAAGGTATGTTAACTGGATCTATTGTAGCTATAAAGATCTACAGTCTTGTATCTTAATTAATGATCAAATTATAACGTTGATCATTTTAGACTGCATCTTCACGTTGTCAGCAAAGATTTCAACAGCCAATGCCTAAAACATAAAAAGCACTGGAACAGCTTTAACACAGACTTTTTGGTGCCAGTAGAAAAAGTCAGAAATGAGTTAAAAAGTAATGGTCATGTCCAACAGCTATCAGATGAGACACTACAGAAATTAATAAATACACCTCTGAAATGTAATACATGCTCATACATTCCGAAGCATATGCCAGATCTAAAAAAGCATTTAATTACTCATCTACCTAATTATATTGATAAAAACAGTTCGTTCCTTTCCTTATTCGAAAAAAATGGTTAATAAACTTTATTTGGTTGTTTTGAGATATTTAATTTAAATATTTATGTAATAATGGAAAATAAACTCTAATTGAACATGTCTCTCATTATAAATAATAAAGGTCAACAATCAGAAGAAAGGATGAGGAAGTAAGTACTGAAAATCCTCAAACTGAATGCATTTTTAAAAGTTTCCGTTACAAAAAGTTGTTCGATTTGAGGACCTCAAGTATGTAAATTATAGTACAATTATGCTTATGTAATTAGTTCATGAAGAGCATTAAATATTTCAGTAAGTAGAGAATGGAGGAAATTAAATTTTGTTCTAAAATGTTTCATAAGGCTCGTCAGCTAATCGCTAATTAATTAATTGGATGTTATTCTTAATTCAACACTTTTTTTTAAGAAGCCTAATATTAAATCAAAGGTCTTTTTAATAATTATTATCATTAATTTTTTAACTATTCATTTCATGTAAAAGGCAACGATGATAATTTGGTCAACGAAGATAATTTTCTCTCTCTTTTTAAGTTGTATCTTTTTACTGTCTGTCTCTAATTTAATGATGGGATCCTGTCCTGATTCCAATTGATCTCAATGTTTGGCCATTTGGTTTGTAGACATGTAAGCATAGAATTTGAAAGAGAATACATGTCAGTCGTATGAGCTTCGAGTAGAATCGCCTTGCCATGACTAAATCGTACTTTATGATTTAAATTAGAATTTGGAATTCCATTATAATGGAACAAGTCAAAGGTATCGGGAATTGAACGTTTATCTTCGGGAAAGAATTCATACATGAAGTCACTTAACAATATTATGCTTGTACTGTCTGCATCAAGTTTGTTTCTCATTATATCAACATAGCCAGGATCGCTTTCGAGTCCTAATTCACTAAGCACGTCTTGAAGTACAGCACTCGAGATAAATCCTGTATTTTCCGTATCATATTGACTAAAGACACGTTTTGCATGTTCAGCTGCCGTTTCTGGTGATACTAAGCTTTTTTCATTACTAAACAGTACAGTCAAATGAGTTTCACTTGCCATGACCCATATTGGGTATTTTGGATTCTTATAAAATGATCCGACCATACAATATCTCAATTGTTCCATTAATGTCAAGAATCCAATATCTGATTGATGATCGATTCCTTTCAATTTCATTCCACCAATATCCTGATCATTGTCAAAAACGTGTGCAACTGCCTTTCCCGTAAGCATTAAATTAATGAGACTTTGAGCACCAAAACCAAACGAACTATGAATGAGCGGTTCTGATGTATCAGATATTTCATTTAGTACATTCTCAATTCCTTTTGTAAATAGCACACTATATAGGAACAAGAGTACACCATATCTATTGCTTAAAATTTTGAAATTCTCCGAATAAAACTTTTCAACTTCCTCAATCGTCTCGAAATCCGTAATAATTAATCGCTCATGAAATGTGTCTGGTAATAAATCTTCTTGATCATTAATTATTAAGCCTCTCTCTTCGCTCACACTTTCGTGATTTACTAAAGACGTGTCCATACTTTCAACTCCATCTTGTTCCTCATTATTACTTATTATCGGTTGATTATTTTCTATCTCAGCTGCTTCTATAGCTCTCTCTACGCCACATGACTTATCTAATGTTATAATTCTGAATACTGCTCTTTCCTTACAATTCATTAGCATATTACATATTGACTGGATCAGCACTTTTTTACACTTTTCCTCTGTCAGATCTTTAAATTGATGAACACTCGGCAGTTCCATCAGACTCTTCAACATATACGCTTGACATGTCGCAATTACACTACATGGTCCTAAAAAATTGCATAAAATCATTGTGTACTTTTTGTGATCCAGTGAATTGTTATTATTGCTGTTAAATCCTTACCTCCGCTATGTTGAAGTAGAGCACTAGGCTCATCAGGTGAAAATTCGAAACCCTGACTCCTTTAATAAGAGAAATAATTATTTCTAGTTGATTTAATTGACATTTTTAGAATTCTTACCATCCACCAAGAAAAACTTTGGTAAAAGTCTCGGAACTCGAATTTCCCCATAATAAGCTTATAATACTTTTTAATTCTGTCGCATCCTCAATTGATAACTTTAACTTATTGTGGGTACTCGATGTCGAATTATGTTCCATTTCAGGATGCATTTTTTGTGTGTTTTGTTTATGAAATCTGAATGGGTAAATCCATGAAAGGAACAACTTGTGAGAAAATTTCATTGATTCACTTTTCATCTACTTCCAAAGAGATTTTTTGTAACTGAACTGTATTTTCTTTTATTTCACTAGTTGAACTACTCAACTGGAAATGCTTTATGAAAAATCAATTGGTATTTCAATATGAAATTAAGTATATTAAGTTGCACAAATTGGAACTGCCCAAAATCATTCAGTCGACGACATTTTATTCTCAAATTATTTTCGAACTGCATTATTTTGAATTTCCAAAATACGTTGAGCATATAGCAGCTAGTCAGGCACGCGTACGTTTAGAAACAGTCATCCACAATATACGCGGGAGATCGACAGCACTAAATTAACTTATTTGTAGTGAATCTACTAAATTTTCTGTCTTAAAATAACTATTAAAGAAAGCATAAAGTGAAATTAAAATGGCTGAAAAACCTGAAGATCAAGCCACGATTGACGATAAGATCTCTAAAGCTAAAGAATTTTATGCTCTTGGCTGTAGAAATTACTATGTTAAATGTTTCACGGAATCGGCTGACGATTTAAGCGAGGCTTGTAAATTATATGGAGAAGTTTATGGAGTAGATGGCGATGAGTTGGGCGAAGTTTACTTATTATATGCTAAGGCACTGATTGCAGTCGGTAAGAATCTCAATTATATTCTATCTTTGTCTTTGTTTATGACTCAATAATATGGAGATAGCAGATGTGCCTTGCTATTACCACATGTTCAGCTAGATTTTAACGGTTTCTTGTAATAAAAACCACAGGTCAGGATGAAAATAAGCTTATAGAAGTGCCAGAGAATGAGGACGAGGACGAGCCAGCTGAAGAGTCTGATGACGATACAAACGAAGAAGATCCAGCGAATGGAAATTCACCAAAAGACACAAATGGAACTGAAAAAGTTGAAAACGAACCACAAGCTGGACCATCGACATCAAATGACAAGGAAAACGAGAATAGTGATGGTGATCAGGCACATGACGACGATAGTCCAGCAGATGAAGATGGTGGGAACTTAGAGGTAGCATGGGAAGTGCTTCAAAATGCAGCATTAATATTCCAGAGACAAGAAGATAATGGATTGAAGAATTTACTGGAAGTTTATAATGAAATGGCAGGAATATCGATGGAAAATGGAAACTTTACACTCGCAGTCGATGACTTTACTCGTGCATTAAGTACATTCGATTGTATAGAGGAATCAGACAAGAATTATCGTATTGCTGCTGAAATTCATTACAAACTCGGTTTATGTCTTAGTATGGAAAAGAGTTATGATGAAGCCATTAAATCATTCCAAAAAGCTCATGACATTATTTCAGATGTAATTGAAATTGAGCGATCAAAAGGTGAAACTGAGGATATTATATCCAATATAAAGGATATGGAAGAGACTCAACAGGAAATTATGAATAAAATTACCGAAATAGGAGATATTAAGGCAGACGAGATTGAACAAGTCAAGAGAGAATTAGCAAAATTATACGGAATGAATGGAGCGTCATCAAGTAGCAGTTCTGCAGATCAGCCATGCTCATCATCATCAGTTAAAGCAACTCCAAAAGTAGTTGAAAGTGACAAGCCCAAACCTATGGATATTTCACATTTAATTAAGCGCAAGAAGCCTGATATTTCAGAAACAACTGTTGAATGCTCTCCAGCCAAAAAGCAAATTATTGAGACATCGGAAGCTATTACAGCAGTTCCAGTTGACACTAAAGAGAAAATTATTGAGGAACCATTGAATGTTCAACCTGCTGTCGATAACTAATCTCACCATTCATTAATAATTTTACTTTTTTATCTTAATTTTAACTAAATTCCTATTTTTAACTCGGATTTGATTACAAAATGTCATGTAATGTCCAAAAAAGTAGCGAATAATAAAGCAACATTAAAAACAATTTTTCGAAGCTTTCAATCAGTCTAGTTATACTATAATTAATCATTTTTCATTTCATATGAAAAACATGTAGGTACACGATGGGGGGTAAAATCCCCGAAAGATATTAATTCCACGATCCTGAGGGATAATAACTTCAAAAATCGCAAATTTTTAAATGTTCCCTGAGGGAGAATAATCCCACTTGGAAATACACGTGGAATTATTATCCTTCCGGGAAGATAATAATCCCACCTATATTTACAAGTGGGATTATTATCTTCCAGGGAGATAATAATTTCACTTACATTTCTAAGTGGGATTATTATCTTTATGGAACACGATTAAAATTATGGATTAAATTATATCTTATTAATATTATGTATTGATAAGTGGATTTATTATCTAATAAGATTTTCATCCAAAAAAAATCACACTTATTAATTTGTCAATTTCATTATTCCAAAAAATTAAAAAAGAAGAAAACATAAATATTGGTTGAATGTTTAAGTTGAAAACTTGGTTTTTTTATGCCTTTTGTAAATTTTCTAAAAGCCTAGAGCCTAGATGTTTAATGTATCAAAGATCTATTCACTCAAGAAATCATATTCACACAAAATTTTAAATTTTTTGTTTTTGCAAATAGTTTTGAAATGAAGTTTTTCAAATTTTGAAACGTGCGGAGCTAATAAATCACGTTTTTATCATTTTTTTTTTTTTCTATTTAGACATTTTCAATTTATTGGTATTTTTTTTCCGTTTTTTGTGCTCCTTTCCTTAGTAAGGAAAAAGCCTTTTCAAATGGTAATTAAACCATTTGAATAGGCATAAAAAACCTTTTTGGAAAGTGCATAATTACAAGTAATATAAATAAATAAATTGAAAAAAAAACATTAACATTTGAGAATAAACGGCCTGTTTCACTAAAGTGGATTATCTTCGATTTCGGATTATCCACTTCGGTTTTTTGTAAATATCTTAAACTTTATGGGAGGTGTGGTATTTCTAATTTTGGATTATAAAAGAGTGAAGTATGCCTGAAATTCCTGTACACTTTAAACTTTTACTTTTCATTAAGAAGTATTAATTATTCAATTTTCTAGCCAAATCTAGTAGATTAACTTCGATTTTTGCTATAATTCTCAAACTAATGAAGATATAAAAATTCTAAGTATATGTTAATTTAAGTAGCAAAGTCCTCTTACTAGATCACACATTAGATCTCTTAAAAGCCTTAAGCGTCTGGAGATATTTCCAAAAAACTGAAGTAGATATTCCGAAATCGAGGATAATCCACTTTAGTGAAACAGGCCGAAAGAGATCAATGAAGCGTAAGCTTCCTTTATTTTTGTCATTGGCAAAATTTGAATTCACGTGATGCAGGATAGAGGATGCAGGGTTTTTTGCTTTTTTGGAAGCAATGGCTGCTTCTACCTTACCCAATAAAAAAATAAAGCCTTATCCTTTTTAACGCAGCAAGAATCAAATACAAGAATTAGAAGTCTCTAAGATGCCTCGTTATTGAGATTTTTGCTGATTTACTTGCCTTGATGCTTGTTTGCTTACGTATTATGCGATTTTCCCATCAATGCTACAATCAATTCAAATTCTGTTTTTACCCATTTGCTTTTTTTTTCTCAAAATGCGAAAAACTGTTTTTCAAACTGAACAAAAATAAAGTGAATACGGTGTGAATATAAAATCCATTTTAGGATATAAAATTTTTTTCTGACAGGTTTTATTTTAAGCTTTTCTTTAAAAGAGCTCAAGTATGCAAGAACTTAAAAAATATTACGTTTGAATATTGTACGAATCATTTTAATTATTTGCTGAACATTTTCAATAAATTATTGGCCATCAGTTTGTTTAAGTAACCCTGTATACCTGAATAATCAGAATAGTTTCGAAATTTTGAGATTATAAACAATCAAATCTCTTAAATGGTCTAAATTTGAGTGATGTACTATATATGGGTATTTTGTGCTATTTTGTGAAAGCAGAAAAATAACTTTTTTAAATTTTGTGAAGTTGCCAGTTCCGAGATATGAGCATCTGAAAACGGAGCTAGGGCCGATTTTTTTACTTTTAACACTTTCGACTGTAAATCTGACGACAATTGTTCAAGCTTGGTCAGTAATTTGTGCAAATGTTTCTTAATCAAATAAAATAAACGAAATATTTTTATCTAGCCTTACTGCGAAAATATGGAGATTCTACGAAAGGAGCTTGGTCAGTAATTTGTGCAAATGTTTCTTAATCAAATAAAATAAACGAAATATTTTTATCTAGCCTTACTGCAAAGATATGGTGATTCTACGACAGGACCTAGTGCAAAATTAACTTATTTTTTCGGTAGAATCCCCATATTTTCGCAGTAAGGCTAGATAAAAATATTTCGTTTATTTTGTTTAATTAAGGAACATTTGCACAAATTACTGACCAAGTTTAAACAGTTTTCGTCTAGCCTTGTCAGATTTGCAGTCGAATGTGTTAAACGTAAAAAATCGGCCCTAGGTCGAATTTCAAATGCTCATATCTCGGAACTGGCAAATTCACAAAATTTAAAAAAGTTATTTTTCTGCTTTCACAAAATACTCATATATAGTACATCACTCAATTCGTTAGGTCACCGTTCTACTTGATTGACACACTTTCTTGGGGCTTGTAGACACGGTTAAACAGCATCAATGTAAAATACTTTCGATATCATAAACTTATAATCGCTGTGTTGATTATTTTCATTGATTTGTTTAGTAAATAACTCGATGACAGAAATCGGAATTTTCCATTTTCATCATTCGAAGGATTGAAAATTAGAAAAAAACTGTTGAAATTAGTATTAAATAACAACTGCTGAGTTGTAAAACATACGAAAATCTACAATTAAGTAGCTTTTCTGTATGCTTTAAGTTATTAAATAATGAAATATATCAATTCTTTTAAAAAATATCATGTGTCATCGAGTTATTAAAAAGCTTTTTGTTGTCCTAATCCGTGAAAAAATACAAAATTTTAAAACATATATTTTTAATTTTTCACATAATTTGGTTGAATTTTCAACATTTTAATAGATCGTTTCCAAAGAATTAATTGTCGTTATTATCTTCGAAGGTTCTAGCTTATTAATCCTTCACAGTAATATGAAATTAATGAAAACATTTTTTTAAAACATAACTCATTGACTTTGAATTATAGAACCATGATAAATAACCTATTTTTCTTAGACTGAGAAATTTAAAAATGTTTATCAAGATTTTTTAACAAAAAAAAATTGTCTGTTTATATGGACAGGCTAACACTTTCATGTACATTTCTTTTTTTTTATTGCACAACATTTTTTTCTATTTTTTATTCATGTTAATTTCTCATTTTATGCTCAAAAGAAGCTTTGAATTTTATTATTATTATTATTATTATTATTGGGCCTCGTCACAAAAAAAAATGTACGTGAGTGACGCTTTGTTATTCTTGATTATCTCCTTATCCTTAAAAGTGACAATTTTAAGAGCTACTTTTTTAAAAAGAGAATTTAAATCTCCATCTATTGTTGTACAATTCACTTCATAAAAGTTTACATTTATTCGAAAAAATCACTTTAAATAAGCGTCACTCACGTAGAACTTTTGGGAATTTCGCTATATCTTCATTATTGTTTATTGATATATCTCCAAATGTATTTTTTAGGTCCGAAATTCAATTCTATTCTTTTTGAGTTCATAAAAAATTTATAAGTGCTGCGTTAACATGCCCAAATGGACAAAATTAAGTTAAAAATTTTTTAACGGTTTTAACTTTTTTGAATTTTTACGTTTGTAATTTGTTTGTTTACAAACAAAATCGAAAAGTCAGGAAAATATCACCCAATAATAATGTAAAAGCTCTTAAAATAGTCAGAACAACTGATGCATCATCTACTTTTCGTATTTAAATCATAATATTTTGGATTAATGATTGAATAATTAAGAATTTTGAGAATTTAATTTTTGATGTTTTGTATGATAGTGTTAGTAGAAAATTCAAATTATTTTTTTTGGTCCTTAAAAAAAGTCGAGGCCCTATTATTATTATTGTTTGTTCATAGGAAAAGCCACCTGAAAAGTATTGAAACATTTTCAGGAGGCATAAAAACCTTGATTATGTTTCCAGAAAAAAAGAACAATTACATTAAGTAACAGTGATATAAATATCGTTTAAGAACTTAAAACTGTATAAACAATTACAAAATTGCAGAGATCGAAGCCGATTTTTTCGACTTAACTCAATTTTTGATTTTTTTGATAGAAAAAAGCCATTTAACACCCATTTTAAGTATTTAAATTGAACTTTACATGCTTTACTATGATTCTGTGAAATATTTTTTCAGCATGTAGCTATAGTGAGCTCAGAATTTCAAGTTAAAGAATGTTAAGCCGAAATTTAAGCCGATCGGCTTAAAATCGGCTAAATTGAAATTCAGAGCTTACTATAGCTACATGCTGAAAAAATATTTCACAGAATCATAGTAAAGCATGTAAAGTTCAATTTAAATACTTAAAAATACTTTAAAAAAAACTTTTTTTAAAAAAGCACGTTTTTATTTCCGATTACAGAGCACTAAAAAGAAGAAAATAATTTTTTTTGCTAAGCTCTCAAATTTGATACAAATTTTTATGACTCAAAATAAAAGCGTGGGGCGTTAAATATAAACTAGCTCTAGATTTTCCAAAATTTATTTGAATTAAGTTTAATTATCCATTTCTTAATTCAACTTTTGTATTAAAACGAAAGGCCTTTTAACGTTTTGATCTCAAATTATTTTTTGACACAAAGGAACTAGTTAGATTTAGCAGAGTAAGACTTGATTTTTAGTGCCACACAGAAAACTCTACATTAATCTCATAAAGATCAAGTCTACCGTCTCAGATTTACCATAATTTGTATGGGCTCATCATTCTCCTTAGACAAACCTATAAACATTGAAGACCTAACGCTTATGTAAACATACAAATTCAAGATTAAGTGATATTAATAACAGCGCCCCACGCTTTTATTTCGAGTCATAAAATTTTGTATCAAATTTGAGAGCTTAGCAAAAAAAATTATTTTCTTCTTTTTAGTGCTCTGTAATCGGAAATAAAAGCGTGCTTTTTTAAAAAAAGTTTTTTTTAAAGTATTTTATTTTCTACTTTTTAGTCTTTAAAATCTCCAACTTTCAAATTCTAAACTTCACTTAGTTTCACTCCGTTTCGTTCAACTATTTATTGAATACCAGTTTTTAATGGGTAATTAGTAAAGACTATCAAAATTTTTCATTCGTTTTATATAATTTATTTCATACTTGGAAACACATTAAACTCTTAAAAGTGTCCTGAACATCAATTAGTATAGTACATTAAAAATCAATCATAAAGATTTGGTGTTTATTCGTACCATTTCTACTTAATACTATAGTATTTATAACGGATTTTTCAAATTTAATTTTAATGAAGGTCTTTTATATGTTATGCAAAACTACGTCAAGCCGTTGATAAAAAGAAAGTGAATTTCATTAAATGTTAGTCAATTGTTAAGAATCAATCAAATACATTAAAAGCATATATATTATGCTCAAACGATGTGTGCTAAATGCATATCAATAGTTATTTTGTATTAAAAACGTAACTGACTTGCGCTTAACGGTTTTTTTAAAATTCAAATTTTCACTTACGAATATCTATGAAAAAATTACTTGTCAATTTTTTTACTGGTCTTACCAGAATATCTTTAGCTATTCAAATTTATAGTATAATTAATAATTAATAATATTAATTAAACTATAATGAATCATGTAAATGACTTTTGAACATTTCAAGTATAATATTTTAAACAAATCAAAATTATATGTCATTGACATTGGATTTTTTCCCATATAAAAAAAGTTTTACTTAAATTGTACTATAATTAAGCATTTTTGTGGTTCCAAAGTGTTAAAATATTGTATTGTCACCGAGAATAAGTGTGCATAAAAAATTTGAGCTCGATTGGAGCAGTAGAAGTGATCGAAATAACGATTACAAAATTTGACGCATGAAACATACAAACATTGTGAGTTAAATAAAAGCGTGTAAAATGGGTGTTAAATTGCTTTTTTCTATCAAAATAATCAAAAATTGAGTTAAGCCGAAAAAATCGGCTTCGATCTCTGCAAAATTGACTAAAGATTAGAATAAAATTTGAAACTGATGGACTAGATTAAAAGGTGTATGTCTCTGCTAATTACTTCAAAAATCAAAAAAAAGTCCGTTAATTTAAATAAATAGATGGAGACAATTAATAAAGATTAGAAATTACTTAATTCGAGTCAAAAGGTCGATTTCGACCGAAATGGATGATTCGACTCCGAATTTCAAATAACATATCTACTCCTAAACATTTGAACAAAACTGTGATTTTTAAACAGTTGAATGAATGAAGCGAAACAAAATGGAATTACAGCTACGTTTTCTTTAAACATTCGAGCGAATCTCGAACATAATTGTATAAGGAATAGCTAACATCTTTAGATCAGTTGAATCCACTTAAACCCACCTTGATTTTACTTTTTAAACAATTTGGAATAATATATTTTTAAAAAGCAAACATTCAACCAATATTTATTAATAAATCCACTTATTAATACATAAGATTAATAAGATTTAATTTAATCCATAATTTTAATTGTGTTCCATAAAGATAATAATCCCACTTAGAAATGTAAGTGAAATTATTATCTTCCTGGGAGATAATAATCCCACTTGTAAATATAGGTGGGATTATTATCTTCCCGGAAGGATAATAATTCAACATGTATTTCTAAGTGGAGTTATTATCCCTCAGGATCGTGGAATTAATATCTTTCGGGGATTTTACCTTGCATCGCGAATACATTAAAAACAATTTTTCGAAGCTTTCAATCAGTCTAGTTATACTATAATTAATCATTTTTAATTTCATATGATAAACATGTAGGTACACAAAATTTGCATCACCAAAAACCGTTAAATAAGAAAAGCTTGCAAATAAAACATAAGACTCGGAACTTAATAAATCGTTTTCCCTGTATTAATCATAGTTAACTCAAAAATACAGAATAAAGTTTAGGCGTTTTATATCGCAGATAGAATCAAATTGCATTTAGCAGACAAAAAAAAATACTTAAAAATTTAATTGATATTTACTTGTTAAGTTGGTTCCGGTAGAACTCGACCTTTTCCCACACGACCTTTAATTCTTTATCCTTGTTAAGGAGCTTTCCTTCCAAACGAGCAATATCCATCAATAGCTTTTGAACCTTATCTTGTGATTGATTTTCCTTGTCGTTTTCCTGATTAACGATAATGCTATTTTCTTGATGCTTCTTTAACTGAAACTTACGGAATTCCTTTTCTTCAGTCAGCTTATCATTCTTCCACATTAATTCAGTCATTTTCTTCTCATAGTACATCTTGATTTCAGCCAATTCATTTTCGGATTTCTTACATTCAGCTTTTAGTTCAACAATTTCATTATTAAGATTCCGGATATTCTTATCAACTTCACTACACTTAATATCATTATTTTGCTTATCAATTCGGAGACGCTCGACTTCCTTAGTTATCTCATCAATCTCTTTAGTAAGCTGTTCAACTTCCTCTTTATTAGCAGTCGGTGCCTTGAAATCGTCAGGAACATCAAGTCCTTGCTTAAGGATGTTCAAAACTTTTAAAGCATGCTTTAATTCGGGTTTTTCCAAGACATCCTCAATCAAAATGCCAAAATGAAAATCACGTTCCCAAACTTTCAAGTATTGTTGAGTCTTATCATCTAATCGACTCTTTAAGCTCTGATTTTCCACTTCTAAACGCTTAATTGCGTTTTCAGAATTTTCAAATTGCTGTGTGAAAAAAGTTCAAATAAAGTTTAAAGTTAATATTTTACCGATATTTTGATATATAGCACTAGGTATTACCGTCATTATTACTTCTATGCTGTTTTTAATCAATTGTACTTGTTATTTCTTAGTTTAATTAATTATTTTAATGCGCAGAAAAGTTTTCTCTCTGATTGAAAATCGTTCAGTGAAGAATATTTTATATCAGATATGACGATTTTTTTTAAATTTTGAATTTTTAAAAGCCGTTATAAAACTCAGCTGAGCAGTAGTCAGCTATTGAGATCAGAAATGGCATCAATTAATCAACAACGTCAACGTATCGAACAAGAGATTACTGCTTTGGTTGATACTCTTGATAAGTCGATTCTTAGGAAGATGCAGGTACTAGAACCAAATCGATTAATTAATCAAATTCATTAGATAAGCTATTGTTTCATCCAATTTCAGGCTCAGACTCATGAGTGTGCTGCAAAGTGCTGCTATGATACAGATTCTTCAATGGAAGCTGTCCAAAACTGCGTAGAAAGGTGCACGAATCCGACTAAAAAGGCTCAAGGGTAAGATTTTTGTTCAAATTCAGTTAATATTTTTATGAATTCTTTATTTTTGAAACATCCAGTTATGTCCAAAGTGAGCTAGAACGTGTTCAAAATCGTCTGCAACGATGTGTCTTAGAGTGTAATGACCAAGTTAAAGATAAAATGCCAGCAAATCCTAATGAGGATCAAATTGCTAAGCATTCAAGAGATTTTGAAAGATGTGCAATTAAATGTGTTGATTCTAGCTTGTCTACACTTCCTGGATTATTCAAAACAATGAAATCAGTGCTGTCAAGGGGTGAAATTCCTGAATAGATCTGTATTAATAAGATTTAACAGTCAGAAATTAATAAAGTTCTTAATTGTTTTAACTGCTTTTTTATTTTTGAATATTAAGTTGAGAAAACTTACAAATCTAGTGTTGATTTTATAAAAGTTTTTATGTTGACAAAAAGTTAAATTTAAATAATTAAAGAATGTCGATAGCTGCAATGAAACTGTGTTCTTCTATCCTTCAAGAGCACTTTGGAGAAACAGTAAGAATTGTGGGACAGGACCTATTTTGTGCTAAATCCAAGACTTTAGGAGGAATTTGTACTTCAACAAAATTGTCAAAAAAACAGGTTAATCGATGAATTTATTATTATTATTATTATTATTTATTATTATGTTTGCTTTCACTCTTAAAAAAGGAAAAAGCCCCCTTAAATATTACTTAAATTATTTAAGAAGGCATAAAAAACCTTTTTTAAAAAATTTTAATTTATCCATAATCTAATGAGTGAATTTGATCATTAGGTAGCAGCAAGTCTTGCAATATTAGTGCAGTATCGACTAGTTAGATTCAATCCAATCGAATCAAATGAGAATATTGCTGAATATACATTACTTTATGACCGGATTTTGCTGTTTCTGAGGTATCCAAGATACATGTATTTTATTCAGAAAAAGTACGGTAACCCATCAGCATTGCTCCTTGAAGACCTTCTAAAAAGCGGTATGGCTATAGCACAGTCAATAATCGTTCGAGCATATGCAGCATCGGATGTTAAAAATACTGAAACATTAAAGGAACTTAGAGATTCATTACTGGATCTTATTGGACAGAAATTCTTTGTAAGATGCCCAGAAGTAACTGGAGATGTAGTACCAAAATTAAAAGTTGAGATCCCTAATCTATTTCTTCCGCCTGATATTAATCTAAAAGATGTTAATGATATGATTGAAAAAGGAACTGATCCAATGGATGTTGTTCAAGAGAAAATCTTCTGGACAGCAAATTTCGATCAATTTCATCAGGCATTTCGTGACAAAGTTCTCGTGGACTGCATTGAAAGGCAAATCGATTCAAACGCTGCTGAGTGCTTCCAATTCATTCTATCATTAATGTACAATAAAACTGATGTTTGGTAAGCTAGATTAATTTTAACCGTCAGATTTATTTTAATCATACTTAATCCACCAATTTGAATCAATATCAATATTACAGGGCAGTAAAGTCGAATCCGATCTCGTTGAACGAAATAAAACAAATTGTGAAGAAAAAGTCATCAAATGCTGAATTAGTTAAATATTTGGATCAATATGTATCGATAATTGAAAAAGATGAATGTGGATTTCTGAAGAAAAATGATGACATTGGAGGCGAAGCTTATGATGTAAACATGAAGGAAGCCTTCAAGCAGATCGCTTGGTCAATTATAGAAAATGTAATTACACAAAAGTTTGGAACAAAAGCAGCTAGAATCTTCAGGGTTGTTCGGACGAAGAAATATATTGAACAAGACGAAATACAGCGTGAAGCTATGATTCCATCAAAAGAAGCTCGACTTTATACTTACAAATTGCTGGAAGAAAATTATGTTCAAATTCAAACGATTAAAAAAGCTGGAAGTGGAATGGGTCCAACAAAGAATTTTTATCTCTTCTATGTCAATCAGCAGCAAATTGCTCGTGACTTGATTGAAGCATGCTATAAATCGCTTTATAATCTCAAAATTCGAGTGAATCTAGATAAGGATGCAAATAAGAGATTAATGGAAAAAGCTATAAGGCTCCAATTTATTGTTGAGGCATTAAAAGAACGAGGCGAATCTGAGGAGACAATCCAAGACATAAATGAAACATTAACACCGCCTGAAAAAGAGATTGTAGAAAATGCTAAAATGAGACTTAATCGCTTAGAAAGTTCCGAGATTATGGTTGACGAAATGATGTTGATGCTGTCACTTTATCTTCAATATTACTCACCAGCTGCAAGGTAAGAGATCTCGGTCATCAATTACACACTAGCATTTTAAAGAAATACATAAAATGTATATTAATCTAAGACATAAAGCTTTATTTTCGATAATTGATAATCTTAAGAAGCTCACGGAATACAAAAAAGAATGTTGAATTTTCAAGTTCATGTGATGTCCACAACTTACTATACTTGAACTTTTTGGGGAATACAACTTTCCAAAAAGAACAAAACTCGTAAATTTACTGTGGCTCACTTTATAAATTGTACAAAAGTCCTCGTGTTATTGATCGAGGGACTTCAGCGCAATTTTTGACGTAGCGATCAGTATTTGATTAGCAATTTAGGCGAATTAAATAGCAAAACGGAGCAAAACATAGTATGAATATACCTTTAGAATTTACGTTTAAACTCATTAAATGCTGTATTTTCCAAATTTTAAGAATTACGTACAAAATCATGTGTAATTTAAAACGTACGTAAGTTAAAACAATTAACTATGTAGAGAAACAAAAAATTCCATTGAATTTGTGTTTTTAAAATTCTTCAACAATGGTTTTTTAAAATTCAAATATTAACCGTTTTTTTTATAGAGGTAGTAAAAAAAATTTCAACAGGTTGCACTGTATTGAAATCAAAAAAATCATTAATTAAAGTATTTACACACTGCTTAAGGTTTAAACTGTTCGATGGACCGATAAATCGATGGTAATAGAGCTAATAAAACAATCATGAGCTCTCCACGATGTCTGGTTAAAATGTTTTTATTATGGGACGAACGAACGAACAAAGTGTATTATTAGGCTACCTTTTCGAAGGTAGCAAGTTTCAAAAATGCGCTAAAAATTGTGTTAAAGAATATAGGTTTTATGAATTGTACTTTTTATGAATTAAATTATCTTTTGCTTCATGCTTACAAATTACATGAAATCGATGAAATGAAATGATTATATCCTAAAATTATTTTTACTATCCACAAGCGATTTTTTCGTCAATTTCTTAATAAATCTATATTGAGACAATTGTTTTTCTCCTGATAATATTTACATACGGTACCCTAATACATGACATTTCAAAAGCGTAACGCTCACAAGTAGCTAAGCTAGTGAGCGCTTTATAGCACTACACACTCAACCCTTCCCACATTCTTCAAAACCCTCTTAAAGATAGTTATTATTTTTCTCACAAAGTTGGAACTCTAGCTTGACTTATTATGGTTGTTAAAATTAATGACTTTTGCTGACTGACACGACAGCATCCTCGAATCCTTGATTCTTTCACTTTTTACTTTAAGCCTGCGTTGTATTGCTGATACAAATCATCCCAAAATTCCATTCTCTCTTGTTCAGGGCTTTTCTTTAAATCTAGTTTCGTTCCAATGTCCAAGTATGTAAGCGGTTGGGGTGTTTTTGAATCAACTGAATCCCAATTTACTGCAAGCATTTGATCATCTTTTGCTAGCGGCGTTGGGTTGCTGTAATGAGATGAATTTTTATTATTAATGAGAGTTATGTAAGATATTTATGCATTTTTAAGGGCCATTTGAGGAAGTGAAACGCACAGCGCCTCCCAAAAATGTGTTGTACAATAATATGAAATTAATTAAGTTTTATGCATTGGAAATCTTTATTACTTAATAACATTAAATTTTTCTAAATAGAAAATCTTGGAGTCAATTTCTATATTTCAAATCTGCTCATTAGGTAACTTGCTATTTGAACTTTAATTGGCATTGCTGTTAACTGTTCAGAAATTTAAAGAATTGAGTAAATATTGCAGAAATTTTAAAGTTAAATATCGAAAATAATGCCTGGCGTGTATGACATATAAAACTTTGGATTCAACATGTCTGTAATATGAAGACACAAATTGAACCAACTCAATGAATGTACGACTGTTGCTTATATGTAATGGAATCATTCAATTATTTTTATTGCATTTCTTTTCTGATATTTATGAAGCTTTTAACGGCATTTTGTCTTTTATAGGCATAATAAATTTATTGTATGCAAGCTTTCATTTAGAGGAGTCGAGTCAATTTGTGGCTAGGTAAAGTAGGAAGACTTCTAAAGACAAGTCAAGAAATTGACAAAGTTATGCGGTTTAAGAATCAACCTAGAATAGTTTTCGATGCTTAGTTCCCAAAAGTAGACTTAATCCATACCCAACCTTGAAAATTATGAAATTTTACAAATTAGTGTGTTTCATAATCAACTTGGATCACTTTTCCTGTCCATTGAGCCAATCTTTAAATGCATAATGCGTGTAGATTAAATTTAAGTGTTCAGTCAGATCATAAATTACAGAATCAATAGCCAACTTAAAGCAAATGAAATCAATTTATTTCACTTTATCTGATCAAAATGCACCGCTAAATGAGATTTCTTAATATATTAAGCATGCACATTGGGAATTTGCAGATGATTTCCCACACAGGTAACAAATTTTCATAATATAGAGAAATGAAGGTCATTTGGCTCAGTTTTACACGAACTACTCTCGTCTGATAAGTAAGGTAATGCTGAATACTTGCAATAAGAAATTGTGTGCATTATGTAATTGCATGTGGCTTTCTGAAGCATCTCATAAGAAGTAAGTGCACGCATACTAAAATGTCATAATCAACCAACCGAGCACAATGAATTGACATATACATACGCAAAATGTCATCTTCCGGGAATAAGATTTAATTACTTTATTAAATCATATTTTAACTCTAGCTAATAAAATTTGCTTCCTCAAACGCCGTACTTGGTTAATTATTTTATAACAAGCAAGTCGATTAAAAAGAACATTCGGAAGTTTAAATTGTCTAGCGTGATCGAATCACTTTGCCATGAGTTGTTTTGACGGAAACACAATTTAAAGTAGTCAAATTTTGTGAACGTGCATGAGTTCTTTACCTCGAAATGAGCTGTGTTCATGAATTACGATAATTTATGTACACAAATTTTATTGTAATACATAATTCCGATACACGATTGACGGGCGTATCTAAGTGACATTTCTAGTCATATTTTTTTACATATTTGCATAACGCGCGCGATGTATTATCAGCTTGTGAATCATCAAAATTGTTTACTCACCCGTATTTTACAAAGTTTGTCCACATTCGTACCATTCTTTTCTTCACATTCGCCTCAGACGACGACGGATCTAAACTGACGTTGAATATACCAAAATAGAAGAGGTAGCCAAGTTCATCGCCGTGACAAACACCCGGTCGATTGACGTTCAATAGCCTTTTATATAATCCTAAAGCGCCATCATAGCTGAATCTATATAAATAGACATTATTGCCACTATATTTCGCGTGTATTTTCGCAGTGTTGGAAATTCCACGAATAAACATGATATCAGTAAGAAGTAAAATCATTTCTTCAACTGTGTCAAGAGATATTGCTCGACCGCCTAAATAAAAGTCTCGTACTCGATCTGACACTAAGGTCGCTTCACTACCATATCGACCTCCAGGAATGTTTAAATCCAGCGGAACTAATCTCGCGAAATCATTTTCATATTGGGTAAGCAGCGTTCTGTCTTTTTTAAATCCTGTATTAAAAATTAGTTAAGGATATAAGATAAGTTAATTGAAAATTCGCAATATAAACTTACTTCTTAAAAATAGCATAGCTTCGTGAGCATTAAATCCGAGTAACAATGGAACTCTATTGAATCGACCTTCCTTTAGGATTTTGAGTGGATGTTCCGTCAAAAATGGTTGATCATATTCAGGATTTGTATCGTTAGTCATTTGGAAGACACGTTCGATAGATGGTACAAATGCCAATCCAACGTTCTTTCGTGCATCTTCAATGTTTAAAGTCTTTGGTGCTGAATCGACAATTTGTTGAGGTGTTGCTTTCCGGAGAAACTCTGTTTGAAGAATTTCATTGAATTTTTAAACTTTTAATTACGGATATGACAACTTACGGATTAACTTTTCTGTACTGTTTGTTTCATAGCTCAATGCCCTGCCAAGCATAAAAGCTCGTTCATTTGGAATGTCAGTGAAACTCCATGGGTTGATGGCTACGCCGCTCTGAGCTATTGCTCTTTTGAAAAGCCCTTTTCCCAAAGGTGACAATATTAAGTAATGCACTGATGCTGAACCAGCTGATTGACCGGCGATTGTGACTTCATTTGGATCTCCTCCGAAGTACTTTTAAATAATAAACTCATGGTAAAGTAAAAATTATAAAAATAATAGCAAAGTAACTCACTTGAATATTATCACGAACCCATTTTAAAGCTAAGATTTGATCCTTTAATCCAACATTTCCAGGAGCTTCTGGAGTTCCAGTATTTAAAAATCCTAAAGGTCCCAAACGATAATTAATAGTGACTAAGATTATTTCACCAGATTCCATGAAATAATCAGGACCGTATAAAAATGCATTTCCATTGCCAAATTGAAAGGCACCTCCATGAATCCAAAATAGAACTTGGAATTTAGGATTGCTTCTTCCTTCAGGTACAATTGGCGTGTAGACATTCAAGTATAGACAATCCTCATTTCCTCTATAGTTTTCGAGTATCATATTTCGATGAGGACAGCTTGCACCTTCTCTTAATGCTGTTCTTGTTCCTGTCCATGGATCTTCAGGCAGTGCAGCTTTAAATCTTCGATCTCCTGATGGTTCTTTACCATATCTGATTCCTTGAAAACTAAAATATCCGCCACTATTGCCAGTTTTAAATGTCTGATATCTTCCTCTCAAAGCTCCATTCCTTGTTTTTACAACTACCCTCTCTTCGTTCCTTATTCCACTCACAAAATCTTGCACAACTCTCATAAACCGTCTAGGTCGCTCTTGCAATAAATTTTGCATTCCATTAAATCGTTTCCATGCATTTGTTTCCTATGTAAAGCATAAGCATAAGCATTAATTATAATTCAAGTGGTATAGAAGAAATATTACAGTATTATATCATCTTAGTCGATACATATACATGATATTGACAATGAAATATGATTGAAGGTAGCTAATTGTGAATATACAATGTCATGGGTAGCAGCATAATCTGTAGTAGGTACTTTGAATATCTGTTTGAAAATGAGTTTCTAATATTTAAAGTTTGTGTTGCACTTATTAAAATTGATCTGTTTAAAGGCACAATAAGCTATGAAGTGCAAAAAATATAGAAAGATTACGGTACGCAAATTTTTAATTAAATTTCTGGGAGTCGAACCCTCGACCTTCGGAATGAAAGTCATGCACTGTTACATATTTTGCAAAATGACAATTTAATGTTCATACACATTCAGCTGTCGATTTAATAATTAACGTATATCTTGTACTTTTCAAAAACTAAAATTAATTTTCAATACTGTCACACTTTGTAAATAGCAACTATCTCAAGTCAAGTTTAAGACAACGAGAGAAATCTCAGTTTTTATTCAATATTTTTGTAAGTTATTATTACAGTAGATTAACAAAGAGTCTCGAAAGCTAAAGGGCAAGCTTTGAGCAATTTTTGGTCAATGAACTGGAATGGTGTAAACAACTGTCTCTCATTTTAGTCAATGCAATTAATTAAATAAATTACAAGTATTATTACTTTTAACAGTTTATAAATCAACCATTAACGCGTGATGATTGAAGATAAGTATGTACATTTTGGTTTGAGACATCATTGAGTAAATGCTTTTCATCATGAATTTGTTTACACATTTAAAGTATGTCACAGATATTTCTTTCAAAATCACAATTTATCTTTTAATTCCTTCAGTTTTGAGACATTATTCATTTTTCAAATGCTTGAATTTAATTACTCCAAATGTATCTGAACTGCTTGTATTTTTTTGGAGAACATTGGTCGCATTTTATTTTTGTGAATGAACAATGGCAAAAAATTGACACAGTTTCTAGCAAGGCATATACTTTTAGTTTCGTTAGTCAACTTTCATTACGTCACAAAAGAAAATAAATGAAAGGCTTTGCTGCAATCAGAAATGCATGCAAAATGTTCATGTACTGGTATGGCTATGAATTAAACAGCAGCAGCATTATTGGTATGATAAGTTTAAATTATTAATATTTAAGAAAGCACGAGAGTGAAAAAAACAGGTTCGTCGATTTTGCTTTCGTTGAAATCTCGTTAGCACTACTGACATATAAAGGCGTTCATTTTTTTGCGCACGTTTTCTTTTCTGCAAATTTTTTAGCATTGAATCAGTTTACCTAATTTTGTTTCTCGACTCAAACTTGCACTTTTTATTGATTATTGAATTTTTTATATGTATCGCACTTTGACCATCGATATTTCATTGATCTTATGCACAGTATTAATTTTTTATGCTTGACAGAATTCATTAAGTTGATATCTCATGGATATATCCACATTTAGTCTATAAATGCATATCTTTAATAGCTAATTTGAATAAATTCAAGATTTTGAGTTTTAATGCATAATCTTCAACTTGACATTTGTTTCTGTAGAAAGTAAAGAGTTCCGCAAAAAATATTCCTTCAAATTAAGAGGTTTGGTCTTGAATCTGCCAAGTGCATTCATAAATCTGCGTTTAAATTAGTCTTCTCATCTGCATAGTTTGTATTGAATTTTATAATTAATTTTTTCGTAGATATAGACAAGTAAATCTTTTCTTACTATAATGGCATTTCTCTTGTTAAACTAATAATTTAAAAAGCCACGATTAATATTAATCAAAAATGGTTCATAAGTAGCATAGCTGTTTTTCAGAAGGCCATGATCAATTGTTTAAAAAAATCCGGCTTTCAAAAAAGCTTCAAACTGTTTTTTGAAATAATTTATCAAAGTTCATAAAGTCCAGTCCAAATTAAATATTAAACAGATTTTAGACAATAGAACTCAATAATCTCTTAAACGTGCTTATTTAAAGTTTTTAATGATATCAAAAAAATAAAGAAATTGAGATCACTTTATGAAATAACTTCAGTAAATAACACCGACTGCCTAATTAAAGTGATATTTTACACCCCAACTTATTATGTATTTACAAACTCCAAACACCAACCAAAAAGTGCAGTAAAATTCATTGTCAAGCTGTAAAATGTAATTGTAAAGTAAATCATCAAAAGAACCTACTTGGCTACTTTTTAAAATGTCCTTTAAAGATAAAGGAAGGCGCGTTTGTCGACCTTGAGGGAATCGAATGCAAATTTTACACACTTTCGAATGTCAGCTATCGTCAATATCATGGACAATCAAGTAGGATGATAAATAACAGAAAGAAGTTAGTTTTGACTATCATGGATTGTCTGACATTGACCGAGGTCGATCGATGAAACATTTTCTTTTGTTCTTTAAAAAGGAAACTTAAGAGTTCGAAAAGGAAGTAACTTTTCGAATAATTAGCAAGTACATGTGAATGTGATTTAACCAAGAGCTGTACAAAGTACGCAAGGGTATCCATTATCTTCCAGATATAGTCATAGCTAGGGAATACTACCTTAACGATAATAAGACTCGTCAGAGACATGTCCCAGATTAGCTCTTGTACAGACCAGAAAATCATCAACAAATCTCTTGCAAATCACAGCCATCAAGATATGTTTAAACTACCTACAAATCATAGTGTCAATTGGATAGATTGCATTATCGATGTAATTTCTGTTCAGTAATATGAAAAAATCATAATTAATATTTATCTACCGTGTAATAAAGCCTCAAACAATGTGCAAAAATTCATATATACACGGAAAGAGCATGCTGCCATCGTTTCATATAAACAAGTCAGATGAATTGCATTTTCGTAATGATATTTACAACAAAAATAATTGAATGGAACTTTTTATAGCATCGTGAAGTTGATTTATAAGAAAACTCTACTTAAAATGCAATAAATCAAAGAAACGTTTAGTCAAGCTTTGCAAAATGACACGGCACTTTTTATGTAGATTATGAGTATTTAATGAACGGTTAAGTGTGTGATACTAGAGAAGAATAGAACCTTCTCTGTAGTCTGCATGTCTAAAATATTTAAACGGAAATGCTCAAAGTCATTTTTCTAGACGATAATAGAATGACTTTAAATGTTTTGGGTGTGGTGCAAGTGAAATTTGAAATGCTAAAGAAAAAAAGAATGATAACAGTGCTGAATTGTTCATGTTTGCTTCTAATTTACTTAAAGAAACGAATACTGCTTTCTAGCTCAATTTTGAATGAAAAATGTGCTGGAAACTCTGTTTTGACTGTTTTGGGTATAACACTTTAATGATGTTGCATGCATACATCCAGTATTGCTTAAATATTCATATCTGAGATAAAATGTGCGAGATATACAGCTGATGTTATCTAAATACATCTTGGCGAATAAGATGATGCTTAATTTATGCAAATTTTAGCAAAACAACATTTTTTTAAAGATGTGAATGAACCTAGTTTAAGTCACTATATTATGATTCAGTACATGCAGGATTGAATCGTTTTGAATTTGAAAGGAGTTATTATATTAGAAAGCTTAATATTCTCGTTATTTGCTGGTTTCAAGATTTATTGAAATACCATTTCCCAGTTTATCTAAGTTGATATCAACTTTCACAAGATGTCAAAAATTATTTAATTTTTTTTTTCTTTTCCTCGATTAAAATTGAAAACTAGTTTTTTTATAAAAAGTTTAAAACTAGCAATATAAAGAAACTAATGGGTCGTTCATTAATAATATAAGCCGTTTTGCAGAAAGCTTTTTTAAATTCTAAATAAGCAGTCAGTTCAATTCATCAGGAAAGATAAATCGAGGATCATTGCCTTGATTTAACTGCTACAAAAAAAAATTCACGTGCGGAAACCTCTTCGCATTTTTAATTAAATTGAAGACATTAAAAAGCAGTAAAACAGTAAATTATATACCTTAAAAGTATTTGTAAATCGCCCGAATCCATCCACAACACCGCCAAATGTTGACGGTTGTAAAGGAATTGCTTTTGGTTTTGCAAACGCATCAATATTCACAGCATAAAGCGCCCAGATGAGAATACAATTAAAACTTTTTACTTTCATTATTCACACTTATTCACTACACATTAAAATTAATATATGAATTATTTAATAAATTTGCTTTTTTTTTCTTCTTCCACACACTGATCACTAAGTCACTGATATTTTCATGTCCATACGATGCACATTTTCGAAGAGAACTATCGAGAGAAAGAAATAAAATGTATAAAAAACTGTTTTTTTTTTAAATTATATAATCTCAAATCGTTAATGTTTAATGCGTCATAATTGATACATGGGTATATCCAGGGGTGTTATAGGCAATGCTTAAATTTAATTTTTGTTTTATTCTAACAATATATTAATTTTGAATGTGATTGAAACCTTAGAGAAACTATAGTGACCCAAAGAAAATTGCTAGTTTTCTTTACATTTGTTTGATTATTTTTAAAATTCACAATTACAAATCATTAGCATCCACGCCTGTAAATAATTATTTCTTAAATTCTTGTAGCTTAATTGAAAATTGCTGCATTTTGACAAAAAGAAGGAAATCATTTTTTTTACAAAGGTTATGAAAATATGTGCAAACTGCCTGTAATATCCGTCTAGGAATCTCACATTTTAAAATTATTTCAAAATCTTTGCAATCCATCAATATTATATTTTTGAACTCAATTATGTAGAGATTGCCAAACTCTTATTTTCAAAAATTGCAATAGAGCATTTGAATGTCTATTAAACTTTTATATCCAGGCATGCACTGTTCAATTGTTTTAAGTATTTACAATATTTGATTGCATTTGCTTCCGCAAGTAATGAAAATGAAAATCCACAAAATTCACATAAATTTGAACATCAACAAAAAAAAAAATTAATTAGTAAATCAGAATTGCATAATAATCTTGAAAACCACAAACTTTATTTTAGTAGCGATTTGTTTCTTTTTTTCCACGTTTATAGTAGCTCTAGTTTATTTTGCAGATTCAATGCAGAAAATAGAGTTAGATGATGATGCTATATGTAATACACGTACGCGAGGTTAAAAATATATCAATTGGAAAAGAAAACAAAGAATCACTAAATATATTTATAAGCACTTTGTAAAATTGCGTCTGACTTCGTTGCGAGCAAGTCAACGAATGAACAATCTTGTGGCATAACTTTTTCAGTCTCTTCTCTTCCTACTCTCGAGCAAAATAACATAAACATACCGGTAAAAACAACAGAGAGAGACTGTACACATTTATCGCTGCATTAAGAAATCAAAATAAACATTTTATTTTTTGTGAGTAGATGTCTTTGATCCATGGAGGTATATAAAACTTATCATTCATGGTTTTGATGTCTACTGAAACAGACAGATTTATTGCTTTTTTTAAGGCGTTAGAGATTTTGCCTTTAAATAAGAACAAAGTATTAGTGATAGCTTTTAAATATCTAATATTATTCTTTGCCTTGAACATATGTAGCTTTTCTATATAGGAAGGATAGAACCTCAAATATTTAGATTTTAGACGGCTGTTTGTAATCATCATATGTAAATTAATAAGGTGTTAATTATTCCGACAATTTTGTATAGATCATGATTATTTTGCTTTTAGAAAATAACAGTCTGTCCCTGAAACTGTTCATTTGATAATCTCGTCGAAGGTCAATATTGTTGCAGATTATCTTTTAAAGTAAATAGAGCATAAAAGAAATACTTTGGAAAAATAATTGAAATTTCAGTATATTAATTACAGTAGAAATATAAATTCTTTTAATAAATGTTACATTGATCAAGTTTTAATTTGATCCATTGGTAGTTTGTTTCATAGTTTGGTTGATCTTCATCAGTTGGTTCTCTTTTAGGATCTTTATTCCAAAGCCAATTTTATAGCACTCTACATTCATTTTTGATTATCCCTTTCAAAATTTGTTGCGATTGGATGAAGAAAGAATTGTCAAAAATTACAGTCTCAGAATTAAATTAAGCAATAATTAAAATTGGACTATGGATAGATCTGAAGTTCTTGAGCTTATTGATTCGGCAGCATGGCAAGCTATAAAAACACTTACAACAAAAAGATCTTTAACGAAAACTAAGTTTATTGCCATCGATAAGGTCACCGTTAGATTTTCAATCCTAAAGATCATATCCTTTATCAGGATTCATGTCAACTTGATTTTATTTTCTTCATACATAAACGATTGATGGAAAGCGCAAATAATAGCTATAATTGGATCATTGGCTGCAAAAATGTTTCTGAAGTTCAGTTTTTCTGGACGTTTAAAGAATTCTCGATTGATAGATGTACAATGCAAGTAAATCCGGCTAAGAAAGAATTGGAGATCATATATGCAGCTCTACAAGAGTTCGACACAAATATGTCTTTCAAACTATTGAAAATGAAAGCTTCCAGTGCAAAAAATAATTTTTTTCCATCCGAAAGACTGATGGAATTTTTACTAGAGTAAGTATCGCACTATAAATAAAAAATATAAATAGGAAAAAAATATAAAATACAAAATATAAATATAAATATATAAATAGGAAATATGGACGTAATGATTAAGAATAGAGGTTTATTCCAATCGAAAAGTCAATTTGGTCAAGACAGCTGTCATTATTAGGGACAGAAAATGATTATTACTAATGTACTTGACTTTAACAGCATTAGAAATGCATTATTGTAAATTATTGCGAGCTACTTCCAGAATTATTTGTTGAAATTTTCTGTTTATCTTCGTAGAGCAATATCAGACTTTTATCTGAATGATTTAGCTTATATAAACCATTCATTGGAATTGATTCAGTCTATTGTACAATTGATATTAAACAATAAAAGCAAATAAGCTTTTAAATAAAAAAAAGAGTCGAAAATGACCATTTGTATCGCGACGATGTAACGAAGTGAAGACCTCATAACAAATAATACAATAATACTGTAAGACCATGATACTCACAAAAACCGTTAAATTCAAATTCCACATTTTACACATCAGATTAAGTTGGAAAAGTTTTTAAAAACAAATAAATCCAAACAAATAAGTAAACTTTGCCAAAACCTTTTCAGCAAATTTAATTTAAATTCAATATCAATTATGTTTATTTACAACTAGTATAAAGTTAATACTAGCTTTAGGTAATTTATTAAACATTTATAAAGATTAGCAAGTACATAGAGAATCAGACTGATGTGTAAAAGCTTTATTTTAACTCGAGTCGAGTGCATTCAGTAACAAAAATCAAGAAAAACTCTAAAATTTTTAAATATAATTAATATTTTTCTCAATATTACTAAAGAATCATTGCATTTATTGTACATAAAACTAGTTATAATTTAAGTTTAGGTGTAGCTGTATGTAAATATCGTATTTAAAAGTGAATTTTATGCTGTAGTTTAATAAAAAGTGAGTTTATGTTTATTTGACCTTGTCAAATCGAGTTGAGTTTTTAGTAAAATTTTCCTATTAAAACAAATAATTGCTGATTCATAATTCGATCGATATGAAATATAACGAGTGTTGCATCGGCTGATTATAATAAAAAGTTGGTTAAAGTGAATTTAGAAGCTTAATTTTGATGAAAATTGTTTGTATGAGAAAAATTCCCCTGAAAATAGGCACCAAAAAGTGGGGAAATTGTGTGAATCAAACATAAATAAACAATTTTTATAATATCAAAGCTTATGTGGTGCTTAATCGGCTAATTAGAATGAACAGAATATGATAAACGAAACTATTTTGTAGATAATCAGATAGTGGAATTGTGAATTAAACAAATAAATAAAGTAACGCTGGATGATTGAATCAATAAATTGTTGTGGATGTAACGCAGAATGTACAAAAAAATGTATACAGTAAATACAGACGAAGAAGAATTACCGCGAAAATTTATAAAACAATTGCCAATTGCGAATGATAGATCCAGATTAAAACAGAACACAGACAGCAACGCAATAACGTTTTTCCTTTTATCTCAATCTATCTCTTCTCTATATCAATCAACATGTTCTTGCCAGCTAGCTCGATAACTTACTATAGTAAATAGTAAAGCTAGTAATAGCACTCAAAAGGAGAATTAATTTTCTTTGATTGTTAGTCAGAATGTAAAAGGTTAAATCGTGATGTCTGCTGTTTTGTTTTTAATTCCATTTTTCCATGAATATTCCTGCCTGTATGTGTTGTTCAAATTTGTGTTCCGAGTCACTTTGAGTCACACAATAGGGAAATTTTTGATATGCCACTTCCTTGTGTCCAATACATCGAATTACTTTATAATTTGGGAACCAATGGTGATGATGAGGCATTACTCATATATAAATAATAAAAAATATTGTAAAGAAAAAGAGTTCATTCATCGTAAATAGTATCGTGAATGCCTCTTGAGAAGAAAAAAGAGAAAGAACAATGTTTAATGTTAAAAGTTGAGAAGAGTCGAAGCAGAACAATAAAAAAAAGATGTTGAAATCGTCGACCACATGAAGAAATAAATATAAGAAAGGTTTCGGGTACAAAATATAAAAAAGGCCTCGTAAGAATGGTGGAAGGAAGAGAGAAACGATAAGAAATACAATCTCAAAGAATAAAGCAGAAGAATGAAATTCGTCTACGGCTACAGGGACGTATTAAGCAGACTATCTGCAATTCAATCATATTCACACAAAATTTTCAATTTTTGTGAATATTTTATATTGAAAATAACTACGCAAGTTCTTTAATTAATTTAAAGTTTATTTAATGGGGAAACCATAGCTAGAGCTAAGTGAATTACTTGCGTCAAATATCACGTTAATCGAAACGTGATTAATTCTGATTCTGTTCTGTTCTGTTGCCTTCTTCCACAACAAGATTCTTTTTTTTCTATTTTACATACAATAAATACTCAAGAGTTTTGTTTCGTTGGCTTAGTTACATATTGATTCATAGAATAGAAGCTCCACGCGAGCAAAATATTTGAGAGACATTCCATTCTATCGCCCCCACATATGAAACATCACAGCCAGACACAATTGATTACAAGAATTAAAAATAAAGTTTTTAAAATGCTTCTTCATTCTCTCTCATTTATTCCAATTGCTTACATTACACAAAATTTTTACTATAATAACCTTACACAATCGACATCGTAGATCGTTTTATACCGGCAAAATATTTCTTGATTATACTGAAGATATTGCTTACGAAACGGATAATACAAAGAAACATTCGCGTTCGACCAAGTCCATATTGAAAAGATTCCAAAATAGCACGAGTAGTAACGACAGTCAAACAATATAGCAACTATCTGCAGCAAGCAGACACAAACAGGTCATGTCATGTCAGCAGCTAATTCAAGAAGATCCGTACATTTTTACGGATACAGTCAGTAACTCTACAAGTTTTATGCATGAAAATAATTCTCAAGTAAGTATTATAACATATGAAAAATGTCAAGCCTTTAGTCATGTAAATACTTCTTCTCATGAAATTTGACACTTTTATCGTGTGTGCTGTCGAAACATGCACATGCTAGATTTTTTTTTGTCGTAATACGGCCTGCTATTTTAATTATTGAAATATTTCCAGTTACCGTTAATTTTGTTTCATTAAAAATGTCTTTTTGGTGTCTGTTAACCCATTTTAAGGGTCATGTAGCTGTTCCTAGCTGCATTTAGGACTTAAAATTGGTAAATAAAAATATTTAAAATGCTAGATAAAGCAGTTAAGTGCCTTGCTGGTCGAATAGGTAAGGCGCTTGGCTCAAATTTGGGATGGTAACTCGAAGGTCGTCGGTTCGAATCCAGCCATTTCCAAATTTGTTCTTTTTCGGAAGTTTAAATACTTCGACTGCTTAATGTACGAGATCAAGCCATAATAGGGCATTTGGGCAACGTTGGATTAGGGAACGGGTCAGAAACTTGAGTGTAGCGGGAGAAATAGGAACGAGAGCTACAAGATTCTAAAAGAAGATCGAAACGAGAGCCTTAGTTTATTTGAAACCTAGATATGAAGATTAGAAGTTTGATCCTACATAATACTAATTCATATGTATACAAATACAAAAGTGTAAAATGTGAATTATTTCCGGACAGTATGTCGTCAATAAATGCAAAAAAGTGCAATTAAAATGAAAAAAAAGGATTAAAATTAATCCAAGGATAAAAAACTTAAACCATTGGATTTAACGAGAGATTAATTTAAATCAGTATCAGACCCGCTCTTAAGAAATGCGTTTAATTCACCAAAAAAGGCACTCCAAAATTGACAAACTTAAGGCTCGTGTTCCTTTCTACCTACAATAACATCCACTATATTTTTCATGAATTAATAATTTATGTATCTCTCGACATCTTTCTCGTTTTAGACAAAATACGTTCCTCTTAACAGACAAACAATCTACAACAGACAATTTCGACAACATGAACCCAAACTAGCTTCAATTACAGATTTGAACAATTCACTTTTAAAATCGACGACCTATTCAGATCATAATAATAAGATTGTCATAAGTCCAACGACGTTAAAAGAAAGAAAGAATAATGAACTTAATAATGGAAAGATATTAAGTTCGAGAGCATCACCCAAGTTTTTTAAATCACATCAACAGCAAGTGTTGTTATCACAGAATGATAATAATGGACAACTGTCAAGTGTAAAGAGTAATTACAATAAGAATAGTTTCACACAAAATCATTCCAATGCATCATCAGTATCAAAACAACAACAACAACATCATGAGAGACATTCGGATGTTTTAAATCACGTATCGGAAGCGCTTGAAAATGGTATTACAGGGATCAAAAGGGAAAAGGAGGAGGTATCGACGACGGAAGTTGTGGATACAATTTCAAATAATTATGTGAAAATAGAAAATGAATTCAAATTTGAAGATTGTGATGATGGCAGCGACAACGACAGCGATAATGATGAAAAGAATGAGAAATTAAGTGTTAAGAAAAACAGTAAAAGAACAAACAGAAAGCGAGATAGAAAGTTGCTTTGTTTGACGAGTTCATCAAAAGTAAGCAGCTCAAGGAATGTCATTGTTGAGCCAATTTGTGAGATACCTCGACACGCACCCTTAGTTCAACAGAAATTAAACGTGATAGATAAAAGATTATTGCAAAATTACAGACATTGCGGTAATGAGAGTCGCGATGAGCGATTAAGCATGAGAAAAATGCAACTGCGTCATGTTCTCAATCAATACAAAGGAATTAATCGATTACGTGAAGGAAGTACTGAGCGATATAAAGCTCAACTTAGTAAAAGTTTTAAATTGTCCAAGGTCATGGAGCGGGAGAAACTTAAAATGTAGGCTATTGTCTGTTCCTTACTACTGATTAATTTATTAATTCATATATCTTTCTTATTATAGTTTAAGGAAGTCTATTAAACTCTGCAGCACGAAGGATTGCAAGGATGAGGCAGTCGTTTCCACAGATTTCTGCGCTAAACATATCCTTTCAACAGAGAAAGAACAATTCCTTATACGACAATGTTGCTTTCGTCATTTGGATGGTCAGCAATGTCGAGTTCCTGTCAATAACATTTTGGCAACAATTGCCGTTTGTAATGAACATTTTAATGCGGTATGTAAACTCATTTGTTGCTATGCAACATTATGCTCAACATCCTGAAACCGTTAGGTCAAAATTCAAAAATTTGAACTTCCGTTGTATTTTAAATCTTTTAAAACCGTTAAAATTCGAATTTTAAAAGTCCTTAAAAAATTAATCAATTATTTTTCTCTCTAGCCTGCACATCAGCTTATCAGTAGTGATTCTATAGAGCCAAAGAAGAATCCAGTTCAACGTAAACGCACCAAGACAAGCCCATTGATCCGTCCAGTGAAAAAGAATGGTAAAGGAGGAAGAAAGAAGAAATTATCGACGATTGCACAATCAAATCTTATCATGCCAGTTCATCGACCAACAATGATAATTCATCCAAGTGATTTACAAAAACAGACAGTTAAGAGCAGTGGAAATTCAGTGACATCCACAGCAACTACAACATTACTTCCATTAAAACAGGAAAATCTGCATCATCAAAATGATTGTGATCAATTTATTCACTTTAATAGTGGAAATTTACTAGCATCTTCTCAATCGTCTTATGGAAGTATGAGTAGCGGAAATGAAGATCTTTACATTAAGCAGGATCTGATGCCGGCAGTTTGTGAGAATAGTTATGAGAGTTCAGAGGATACAGGCGTGGGTGGATTAAGTGAGAATGAACTTATTTCACACGATGTTATTGGAAACTTTGATATGGAAAGTTGTGCTGAGCTCTCAAAAGTCCTCAGTTCATTACCTAGTAATACATTGGATGATTTATTGACAGGTAAGCTCGTTTTCAAGTGGCTTGTGACGCAAATTAGGTGGTAGGAAAAAGGTTTATTAAATTAGAAGTAAGGTGCATTTTTAATTTTATCCGAGAATATCGTTTAAACTATTGATCGATTATTTATTATGTATCAGTCTCTTTATCATGTCTGTGCTGTAAATTAAATTGCTATTTTTGTAATTTTAGAACCGCTTCACACATCCCGCGACGACGAAGAATATCTAGACCGTGCGATTGAGGAGGTTTCAGCATCTGGAATGGATCAAATAGCTATAACAGCATTTGAGCACTTGGAAGGATTGGATATGCTTGAAATGTTAGATGATGATGAGCAACGTCAAATGATATCTGCAGCAACAAATCTAATTTCAATGTCCGGATATATGTCACACGATCAAGACAATTATGCAGCAATGCCTTCACCGATGATGTCATAATTTGGGCGAAATTAATCTCTCTCCACTTTTTCGTTCCTGGAGAAAGTCACCCCAAGATAAACTACTTTTCAAATTTTTTGTGTGATGGATAAAATAAAATTTTTGTGTGAATCTGCTGACATAAGTGGTTTGTTCATAATAATGAAAAAAGCTAGGATAGAAGACGCCGTTACAGATGTGAACGGACGAATTAAGCGCATTTTCCTCGCATACATAGATCAGTAATAATTAACTCAAAACTAACATCCAGTAGCATTTAAGTCATATCCGGAACTTAAAAGTATGATGCAGTACGATATGTCATGTCCAGAACTAAAAACTAGGATCTTGTAGGGTTTAAAAAATATACAAGAAAAATGAAAAATTTTATGAACGGTCTTTTGAGATTCAAAAATTAACGGTTTTTGGAAATTACAACTCATTGGCTAATCCAATATCAATTATGTGAACCACAAAGAACAGAAAAGTAAATTTAATTAATAAACCAAGAGAAATTAAGCAAAATCCACATTATCATATACCACATTATCATGCAAAAAACTAGAAGTTTCTAAGTACTTCTAGTTTCGATTTTTTATAGCAGCCAGCCAGCCAGTCAAAGTGGACTGACATTGTTTCTTAAGGAAAATGCGCTTAAAATTTAATCTATAGCAACTAAATTTGAATAATTGGAGATTTTTGAAAATTATAAGAAAAAAAAAATTACAAAAGTCCTCGTGTTATTTATCGAGGGACTTTAACGCATTTTTGATGCAGCGATCAGTATTTTTTACAACAAAATGCGAGTCAATAAGTAGCTTCAAAAGTTTAACGGCCTTTCTACGATGTCTGGTTGATGAGATTTCAGATCTCAAAATTGAGACTGCCGAACAAACAAAGTGAATTATTGAGCTTCCTTTTCGAAACAAGTTTCAAAAATGTGTTGAAAAATATAACATTGATTGGTAGGACAAAGTAATTTCTCTAATTGACACAAAAAACAAACCTAAAAATAATCTATAAAAAAAATGCTTTAGGAATATTGGATGTTAAAAATTTGCCCATTTTCGACAAACAAAAGAAGTTAAATATTTAATCAGATTTTTAGATAAAATTAAATCTAATGGAGAGAATCAACAGCCCAGAAAAGAAGAAGATAATTAAACATATTTTGCCCTCAAAATCACGTAAAATGTTTAGCACATTGATAAATTATTGTGTGATTAAGCATCAATTGTGCTAAATGACACAAAAGAACTATATATGATCAGGGTTGGTAGTTGTTGGTGCCAGTTTAAGTAGTTTCAATGCATGCAAATAGAAGCAGTTTTTCAAAATTTAACGGTTTTTAACTATTTGAATTTGAACTGTTTCGAAAAATTCAAAACTTAAAGTTCAAAAATTCAAAAATTTGAAAGACGATAAAATTTGAATCTATAAAAACCGTTAAAAATGGAGAACTTTTATTCTCAAGCTAAACACACTTTTGCTGGAATTTCCACAAAAACAGCCCTGAATATGATGATTAAATTCCATTTCTCCCACTTTTTTGCACAGATGTCTGGATTATTTGATGATAATGATAATAGATATGGCTAGTAGATATTATTATATGAATTTATGCGTCTTCTGTACAATGCATGTTTGTATCAATTTAAAGTTTCATGATTAGCAAACAATAAGAGTAAAAAAATGAAGAATAAGTCGAATTAAAAGAGTTTAAAAAATTATACTAAAACAAATGAAGAGGAAGAAATAAATCAGATTTGCGATACAGGTCGCCTGTCACAGATATTGTCTGTTAACAGGCACATATATGTTATAAATGTGGTCAAAAACAATATTGCCTGTCACAGACACTGCCTGTTAACAGGGAAATGACAAGCGATTGCCTGTGATAGATCGCAACTCTGAAATAAAAAAATTATGGTCGGATATTCTTCAAACAACGCTTTATAAATTATTTTAATTATGTGTAATTTTCCGCTTCAAAGGAATCTACAAAGTTTCTTATTTTTGTATAAACATACATATTTTAAATTAAATTTTATTAAACACTCGATGTAGCATTATTGTCTCATTTTTTCTCATCTTCATGTATAAATAATTTTAAGGTTTCATCCCCATTCAAAAGAAAATAACAATTAAAATTTTAAAACTGATAAGAAATGCTTCATTTTAGCTTATATTTAATGTTTAGGTTCCATAACAATTTATGTACAGACTTTTTAAAGTAACTTCATGCACTTGGGCCCTGACTTGGGCATTTTTATAAAAAATAAAGATGAATAATAAATAATTACATTATTTCAAATTTTCTCTTCCATGTTAATCTATCATTTAGTTAACTTAACAAAGATAACATCTTTAAATCAATCCTGAATTCAAAAAGTTGCAAAATTAACTGTCATTTGATATTTAAATTTTGAACTTTAATATAGCGGTCGTTTAGATTTTCAAAAATTTTGAACTTAAGTTTTTTTATTTATAAAATTCAAATTTCAAACGACCGTTATTTTTATCAAAATCAGATTGGATTTTTTATTGAAATCATGTGAAAATCCTTAATTAACTCTTGATCTTTGAAAAAGTTAAATTTTGCAAATCAGAAATTAGTCGAGATTATGTTTTATTTACAGCAGGCTGTTTTAATCTTATTTTTCTTTTCACAAGGCCCAAGAAGTGTAAGAAGATAATCAAGTATTTGACCTAAAAGATTCACACATTTGTGGGGTGGAAAATACATATTTTTTTTGAAAAAATCTCATCATAAAAAATCCAGATAGTTTCATTCATTCAAATTAATCATAAGCTTTAGGATATTTATGCAAATTATGATAAAATTTAAATGATTGAAAATATAAAAAAAAAATTGTGTAATGAATTAATGGTTGAATATATGAAACATTAATTATCTAATTATGCTTTTTATAATAAAAGTGATTATAACGAAGAAATTGGCTTATTTATTGCTTTATTCTGGCAGATTGTGTTCCTTCATTTTTACATAGAACAAAAAGCATTGAACATTTGACAAATCTCGAGATTAAAAATTGGATTTAAATAAATCCTTCGATTAAAATTTATATCATAATCTCATCCAGGGTTGTTAAAACATATTCTATTTACAGAATATGTACACATATCCAACACATTTTGCATGTTCACGTGTACAATGTGTGGCAGAATTCATATGTTGGCAGATAATATGTCACACATTGCATATGTGCACATATTTTATGTGTGATGTGTGCACATATATGATGTGTGACACATTATTTTGTGTCACATATGAAAATGTGTGATGTGTGACACATATTTATGTGTGAACATGCAAAATCTGCACATATTTATTAATTTGCGGGACTAAAGTGATATTTTTTGCAACATTTATTTAAAAAAATTATTGATACATAACCAAAACAGTCAAATATTGCATAACAGAGGAAATTTTGTCAAAAATATGTTCATCAAACTATAATTTTAAATTAATTTGACTGTATTTGTTGGAGAAATGAAGATTAAACTAAGAATCCAAATAATTGATGAGCTTCAGTTATGATCGAATCTTTAATAGTAAAACTCGTGTCCTTAAATCACTTGTAAATCAATTTTTAGTCAAACTTTCCGAAAATATAGTCAAATTAGTTTGAAATTACAGTTTGATGAACATATTTTCGACAAAATTAACTCTTTTATGCAATATTTGACTGTTTTGGTTATAAATCAATATTTTTTTAAATAAATGTTGCAAAAAAATATCACTTTTGTCCAGCAAATTAATAAATATGTGCAGATTTTGCATGTTCACACATAAATATGTGTCACACATCACACATTTTCATATGTGACACAAAATAATGTGTCACACATCAAATATGTGCACACATCACACATAAAATATGTGCACATATGCAATGTGTGACATATATTATCTGCCAACATATGAATTCTGCCACGCATTGTACATGTGAACATATTTTTAAAAAAGGCCATATTCTATTTTTAACCACCCTGATCTCATCCTTAAAATCCAACAATTCTTGATCGTCTCTTCGTGGTGTTTACTTCAACATTTGGAGTTTGTGTCGAAGTCATGTCCGGTGAGAATTTGTCGTCCATTTCCACGTCTTCATCAATTTCAATATGAGTAGATTCAAGCCATTGATATACTTTATTCTTTCCTTTAATTTCTTGTGATAAATCAGCTCGTTCCATATGATTAGTTTCTTCCCATTCGTCAGCATCAAAACTCTCATCGACATCGTCCCATAAATACATAATTTCTTTAGCTAATAAGTCTTTGCATTGCCGTGCATCTCCGATATTAACTTTCCAGTTTTGCTTAAAATTTGGCAATTCTTCTGGCTCTAAATTTGTCAAATCAATGACAGCATTAGACTTTTCGTCAGACAGGAACTTTGGAAGGCTCTCAAGCTTGACAATATCATCAACTACAAGATCTCCATTCCTAACTCTTTCTTCAGCTGTATGGTGCTTATTTGGATCTAGAGGAACTTGAAGATAATTTTCCCAAAGCTGGAACCTTTCAATTGTGGACAGCGAGTCTTCATCCTTAGTACCTTCCTTACATATTAGGACATTTTCAAAAACATCTCCATAGCAATTTTGTACAAATAGCTTAAGTTTCGTGCAGTTATAATGCAAGCAAATGCCTGTGATACTTCCATTAACTCGTTCCTGTATATTTTCAGATAATAGAAACAATCCTTGTTCTCTTAACTTGTTATATGAGCTTCTAATATTGTATGGCTTGTACGGATAGTAATTTATTGATTTTCCATTATTATTGAATATTTTTAAGTCGCCGACCATGTGACTTGATGCACATATAATCTCATTAAGTCCATACATTGTTGTACTGAGCATCATTGGTGGATCATATAGCTGATGTGTCCAATAAACGACTGGTTCTTTAAGTTTCCGATAGTCATAAGTGTAGAGAACATGAGATGATGCTATATAGACTAAATCCTTGCTTAGCTGTGAACTTGTATGATTAAAAATCTTCTCGCATTTAAAGACCAAATCTTCAGATGAATCAAAATGATTTACTAAGGACATCCTTTGTTTATTCCTAAAATCTACGATACCAAAATTATATCTTGTCGTGAACGATGCACAGTTTTTCTTCAAAGTTGTGTCTATGGGTGTTGACAAGCTAATTGGCAGGAGCTTCTCGTCAAAAAAGTAATCTGTTAATTTAACATCTACATCCTCATATCGATGCATTAAATTAAGTCTTTTTAATCTATACTTTGAGTCTATAGTTGTTAAGTAGCATTCATTTAAGGAACTAGCAAAAAGGTCATTTTTATGCTCAAACTTATCAATTGTCTCGATGACCTTTCTATCGTTTAAAGTGCCTTCATCTGAAAGCTTTGCTATTTTAACAGTATTTCTATATCTAGCTGCTATGAAATCTGAAGTGTCATTGACTATCAGTTCTGTTGGATGCGACTGTGCTTTTGGAACTGGCTTTAAACCTTTAAATGGCATTTTATCACAAATTTGATTGAAACGAAAAGCTTCATTAGCCGTAATTGATACTAGATAATCCTTATCTTCAGTTTCGAGACATTTTAAAGTTCCATGATGAGGATAGAAGTCAAAACATTCTAAAGGATCAATATATGGCACTGGATCTAGTAACTTTTTTGTGATGTATTCCTTTAAATTCCTGCTGGTAACGTCATTTTCACGACTTATCTTGCCAGTTCTGTAATATTTAACTAATCTAGATTCTATCAGTGTCTTCTCACGCTCATTTTCGCTCTTTGTCTGAATAAATTCCTTTACGGGATCTTTGACTTTACTTTTGTACTTTGTTGAGATTATAGGTACTGGCAGTGTATTTTTCTTAATGATTTCAACATTAGGACCAGTAAGAGTCGTTTTGGTTCTATTAATTAATGAGGAATGCTGTGCTCTTGGGAATAAACGATGATTTAGACAATCTTGATCATTACAATATTTATTCTTTCGATTCCTGTGAAAATACGCCTTGTTTTAATGTTCGATTAATTAGACATGACAGATTTATACTTACATAATGTGGAATTTAGAATTAGGAGGTCGATTTTAGCCTTATTATTATAGAAATAAATTAATTAACAAAATAACGTGAAAATCAACAATTTTTCAATGTTTACAAATATTTGAGTTTTAAAAAACCGTTGCAGACAATGGATTTAATTTAAATCGTAGGATCAAAGTATTAATCAAGATAAAATAGCAAGCAAATCAGCAAAATAAGACACAAACGATTTTAAAAGAGCCTTAATGATTATCTTTATTTTCAACTTTCATGTGATAAGGATTATTATAATTAAATGATGCTTAAAATGGTATCTTACAGATTAACAACTCAAATTTTTAAAAGACAAGCTTATTCCTTGCTTTCGACTTTCTCAATTCCTGTCAAGCTTCGAATATTCTTCAAAAGGTATTGATTGTAATCTCTGATCTTTGTCTCTCCAACAGCAATAGCACTGATCTTGTTTCTTGGTACGTCCTGAAATGTCAATAAATTAAATAATCATGCTTAATGACAAAGTTTAGTAATACTGCTTACTCCATAAGTTTCAACTTTGGTACGCAATTTGTAGATCTTTGGCTTAAAAAGAGCACTTTGGATGAAAGCCTCAGCTTCCTTCTTATCGCCTTCCATCAATTGTGCAATTTCATCAGTTTTCTTCTCCAGGATCTTTTCACCAAGTTCTGAGAAGAATGTCACCCAACGATTTGATGTCCAGTCTCCAATCATCATCTATTCAAGTTTTTAAGATTTATTAGCAACAAAATTTAAGTATTTAAGCATTGCATTCAAACTTACATTAACAAGCAAGCGATTTTTATACTCGGAAGTTTCAATGTTGCATTTATCGCACCGATAAGTTCCATTATTCAAATCAACGACTTTCTTGTTACATTCACCATTTGGACATGCTTTATACATCATGTTCTCAGATCGAATTGTGTGTATCATACCCATTATTTGGAAATATTCAGGCTTTTCAGCACCCATATTCTTTAATTTAGCTTCATGGAATGTACTGAATTCTGTTGATACATTTCCACCACCTGAACGTGTTGATAAAGTAACAAAGTTGCCATCACTTCCACCATTTTCAAACCATCCACGAAGTCTGTGACCTTCTGGTAAGTCTGGATTAATTTTGATGACTGTACTTTGGAGAGCACCAAGAGTTTTGCCTCCATTATATTCACCAAGCTTAGCTCCTTTTAGGAACACAACGGGATTATCAAAATCATTAAAATTCTGTGCTTCATTTCCCCACAATGTTAATGAAATGCTTGCATTACTCTGATCAATCAAGGTTACTTCACGTTTAGTCAATTCCTTATTAGCACGAGACGTAAACGTCTGAACTGGACCGGCTTCCTTACAAATTCCAATAACATCAATAACTGAATCCGGTGCCTTTCCAGCAAGATCAGTGATGGTTACCAAATCATACTTTAATTTTGGAATGCTTGAATATTCCTCAATGCATGGCTGAATTTGTGTATCGCTGTTCATTGTCATTTCATAATCATTCTTAAGCTGTGAATATTGTTTATTAGCAGGCTTAAGTTGACACTTACTAATATAATAGACTTTATCAACTTCAATCATTTCGTAGTAACGATCAACCAAGTCACGAAATCCTGTGCATCGAATTTCACCAGTTTCATCGCAAAGATCCATTGTGAACAGCTTTCCTTCACCTTTTGCATTACTCCATGTACGTATGCCTGATTTAGACATGACACGAGCCTTAATGACCCATTTATTTTGGTATGGACTCAATGAATCTATTGGCATTGTAAGATGTCCACTTAGTTCCTCAGAAGCAGAAGCATTCATTGACATGTTTGCCTTTGATGAATTTTGATTATTTGAACTGTAATTATTAGAATTTCCACTGTAATTCTCCTTTTGAGCTTGTGGTGCTGGGGCATTATATGCTTTCGGAGCTGGCTTTGTTGATTCAATTTTCGTTCCTACTTCGTGACCAGGATGCAATGGACTCATCTCAAAAACGATCAAGACTTGCCTATAAATACAGTCATCATATAAACGACAATTTGATAGAATTAGACTATAATTACCTTTCGTTGTTATCATTTCTATTGACCTTTGATGGCACGAATCTATCGATGCGAACGATTGTAAATTCAGTCAACTGACCATCTTCATACATTGAATTTAAAGGAATTGCAAGCATTGCGAAATTATGAGTGTCGACGCCATCTGTAAGAACTAATCTGTATCTATCCTGCCCTCCTGGATTTGATGATGGGATTCTCTTAATTCCAAGGACTTGAACAACTATTGGACATGGAACATCCTCACCTCTGTTTATACGCTATTAATTAAACAAATTATTGCAAAACTTCATGAAATTTTATTCTTTCCTCTACTTACTTCCAATGAGCCAGCAGTTAAGCTTGTAAAGTTTCTTGCCATGATCTATCAGACCTTACGAATACTTTGATTTATTAATTCACTTTTAAATGTGATTGGAAAAAGCTTAATTAATTACTTTTTAGATAGAGCAAGGATAGAATTCGCGCCGAATTAAAGTTTAGACGATTATTACAGAACAACCGGTATTTTTGATTTAACGTTTTTTTATAATTTATCAACTTTTAATGCTTCGAACTATGCTTTTCATGCATCACATTGAAGCTTCTCATCCACAACATTGATGCTTTCTCATCCACCACACTTAATTTTTCGGTTTTGAAAAGTTGTAAAAAATTCTATAACTGTCAACAAATATTTGAAAATATTCCCGCCAAAAAGACTCAATTCCACACTATCGTTTTTATTAATTATATTAAATATTACGCAGTTTTAAATCGTATTGTTTTAATTAAACTATAGTTAAATATCAACAGAAAAGTTATCAATTGGAATCTCGGTATTAAATCATCACAGAAAAGTTTTATTAAATAAACAGTTGATTAGTATATAAAATGGAAGGTTTTGATGATCCAGGAATATTCTTCTCCGACAATTTCGGTGGAGATGAGCAGAATGCCAATGTCATCAATTTGCAGCAAATTAAGAACAAGTTTAAAGAGTTTATAAGAACTTTCAATGAGGATAACTTCCATTATAAATACAGGTATGAATCTAGTGCTTATAACTGGCATCCAGTGGACTAAACCAACATTTTTATCATACAGAGATACACTAAAGAGGAACTACCTTTTGGGAAAATTCTTCCTCGATGTTGAGATGGAGGATCTAGCTGGATTCGATGAAAACCTAGCAGACAAGCTGAAGAAACAGCCATCAGAGCATTTACAGATTTTTGAGGAAGCAGCCAAAGAAGTCGCAGATGAAATTACCTCACCGAGACCTGAGCATGAAGAATTACAAGATATCCAGATCTTAATTTCCTCAAATGCTAATCCCACAAATGTTCGTGACTTAAAATCAGAAATGGTTGCGAAGATGGTCAAAATATCGGGTGTAATCATATCAGCAAGTGGAATTAAGGCAAAAACTACAAAAATTACTATTCAATGCCGTGCTTGTAACAATACCATACCCAATTTAACAGTTAATCCTGGACTTGAAGGATATGCTTTGCCTAGAAAATGTAATACTGATCAAGCAGGTCGTCCGAAATGTCCCTTAGATCCATTCTTTATTATGCCTGATAAATGCAAATGTGTCGATTTCCAAACACTCAAATTACAAGAATTGCCTGATTCAGTCCCTCAAGGAGAAATTCCTAGACATATGCAGCTATTCTGTGACAGATCATTGTGTGAACGAGTCGTTCCTGGAAATCGTGTATTAATTCAAGGTATTTATTCGATTAAGAAAGTTGGAAGTAGCGGTAAAGGAAGTGATACACATAAAGCAGTCGTTGGAGTTCGTGCTCCTTATATGCGTGTTATTGGCATTAAAGTTGATACAGAAATCGGTTCCATTTCACGATTCAGTAATATAACAAGCGACGAGGAAGCAGCATTCAGAAAACTTGCAGCCATGCCTGATATTTATGATAAATTAGCAAAAAGTATTGCTCCCAGCATTTATGGATCTGCTGATGTTAAGAAAGCTATTGTTTGCCTACTTTTTGGTGGATCTAGAAAGAAGCTTCCTGACGGCTTACTTCGTAGAGGTGACATTAACTTACTTATGCTTGGAGATCCAGGTACAGCAAAATCACAGCTCCTTAAATTCGTCGAAAAAGTCAGTCCAATTGGCGTTTATACGTCAGGAAAAGGTTCAAGTGCTGCTGGTTTAACTGCTTCCGTTATGAGAGATCCATCAACACGTAATTTCGTTATGGAAGGTGGTGCGATGGTTTTAGCTGATGGCGGTGTCGTTTGTATTGATGAATTTGATAAAATGAAGGAAGACGATCGTGTTGCTATTCATGAAGCTATGGAACAAGTAAGTAAATGATTAATTGGTAATAATTCTGGATCAATTTAAATCTAAGGATTAAACATTCGATTTACTTAAATCCTTAAGATTTAACAATTTTCTTTAATTAATTTAAATTAGGGAACCATCTCAATTGCTAAGGCTGGTATCACAACAACACTCAATTCACGTTGTTCAGTACTCGCAGCAGCTAATTCAATTTTTGGTCGATGGGATGACACGAAAGGCGAGGAGAATATTGATTTTATGCCAACAATTTTATCTCGTTTCGATATGATATTCATCATTAAAGATCAGCATGATCAGACAAGAGATATGATTTTGGCAAAGCACATTATAAATGTTCATTTGAATGCTAATCGTCCAGCCACAGCTGAGCAAGACGGAGAAATTCCTTTGCATGTTTTAAAAAAATACATTCATTATTGCCGTAAAAATTGTGGACCACGATTAAGTCCTGATGCTGGCGAGAAGCTACGCAGTCGTTATGTTCTTATGAGATCTGGAGCAAGTCAACAAGAAAAGGCATCTGATAAACGTATGGCTATTCCAATTACTGTCCGTCAACTTGAAGCTGTCATTCGTATTTCTGAATCACTTGCTAAATTACAACTTAAATCATTCGTAACTGAGGAACATGTTAATGAGGCTTTACGTCTCTTCCAAGTCTCAACATTAGAGGCAGCATCATCAGGAACGTTGTCCGGTGTCGAAGGCTTTACAACCGAAGAAGATCACGAAATGCTTAATCGTATTGAGAAACAATTGAAGCGTCGATTTGCCATTGGATCTCAAGTCTCGGAGACAAATATAATTGGAGATTTTACGAGACAAAAATACCCAGAAAGGGCCATCATTAAGGTCATATCAACCATGATACGTCGAGGTGAATTACAGCATCGTATGCAAAGAAAAATGTTGTATCGTCTTTCATAAAAACAAATATCAAGGCAGGCACAGCAACATTCTTTTCATTTTTATGATTTTATTTTGCTTTTACTTTTAATTCCTTCACAAACATTTGTCCTCAATTCATATTCATAGCTTGTTACTACTCATCATTATCAATAGCTTTAAAGTTAAAATGTCCAATAAATATCAATTTTAGATTTAAAATGAATTTTTGTTTAATTAAATATAAGAATTTGATTTTAACACGTTTGGAACCGCACATAAAATATCCCAACGATGATGTATAGATGTTGTTACTTTTCATTCATTCATAGTGAAATCATGAAATTATCAAACGTGACTGCCTTCATATGAACTTTATTTTTAGCGTATATTTCGCTTGGGGACATGAAAAATGAAAGAACTTTGTCGTATTTACTGTTTTTCTTATTGCGATCATCATTTAGAGTTCATTAAATGTAGAACATAAATATTAAGTGAATTTATTGCTGACGCTTCTTCTCTCGCGTGAATGTACTCTCATATTTTTGCTTAATTAGACGTTAAATTGCGTCAAATGCCAGTGGATAACTTCGTCACTTTAGAACTTAATTGTTTTAAACGAATTTACAGAATTTGAATTTTAACGGTTTTCTAGTGTTTAAATTTTATGCTCGTTTTAAAAATTTGAATTTTATGCTTGTTTCGAAATTTTTGAATTCTAAAAACCCGTTATATTTCAATAAAGCTTAAAAACCGTTGCAAACTTAAATCCACAGCATGTTACAGCACCAGATTCCAAAGTATTAAGCAATAACAATATTTAATGTCTAAAGATGTAAAACAGTAGCGTAATCACGCAATCTCTTACTGCCCACTGGATCCTGTCAACAGCCATAAACATTAACACGTTTGCGACACGATTATTTGACAAACAGCAGCAACAATTAAAGTAGTTCTCGAAAGAAATGTCTAGTTATATCCAGAACACACTCTCACGCTGTAATCAATAATTAAGAGTCGTTTAATTAAAGACTGAAAAACAATGATGTATGTGCCAATATCGTCAATCTTTAATTTTCATTCCATTTTAAATGGTCTCACGAAGTTCTCATTGTTCTCGGACTTCCAATCGACTATTTATTTTATTATTTTTGACGTCTATTGTGTCTGTCATAACGAAATTTAATTTGATTATGTAAAATTCAATTAAAATTTGATTTGTTTTTGTTATTCTGTCGTATATGTTGAAAATAACATGTAGACGTGCTGAAATGGGTTAGGCTGATTTTATTTGCAGGAAAATTGATACAATATTGGAGCAGAAGTTTTAACTGGTTTTTAGAAATTTGAATTTTAACGGATTTTGGAAATTTGATTTGAAAGCAAGGTTGTGGTACTGATGAAATGATCAAAAATGATCAAAAATTATCAAAAATGATCAAAAATGATCAAAATTGATCAAAATTGATCAAAATGTTATTCTTCAGTTCCACACCCTTGATTGAAAGTTGTTTTTGAATTTAAAAAATACGTTAATTTTCAAAATTCTAAAAACCTTTAAAACTTTTGACCCTCAATCCATTGCCACAAACTTACTTTTTATTTGTTGATATGCATTCTCATAGATCCCTGAATAAATCATACGAGCAAGCAAGCCAAACAAAACACACACGATTATCAAACAATTAAAAAAGTATCCGTCGACTCGAGAAAAGAAAAGAAAAACTTTTCATTCATAAAAAAGTAGATTTCCCTTCCATATGCGAATAAATTATTTCAAAAAATGTTATTTATAGATATATGAGTTTTTTTCATCGTATAACAGTGATTGTGATGTGTTTACATTATTATGACGATGAAGGCGATTTCAGAATGGAATTTTTAGAAACATGGATTAATATAAAGTGCAGAAGGGAAAATGGGTTAATGGGAGATGATGAGAAGCGATTTTTAAAATTTCATTACTTAATGTTAATTAATTAAAATGAAAAAAAAAAAAAAAATCTGTAGAGTATGGATGTGTAAAATTCCTGACTTGTTAATATTAACGGAGATGCAACGATGATTGCTTCGCTTCAAAACAAATTAATGTTGATAAATTGGAAGAGATTTTAGGAGTGAATTTCTATTTTTGGTGTGGAATTCGGCTATTACTGGATGTTACAATTGGCTGATTTCTCCACAAAAAAACCTATTTATTTGTGTCGCACAAATCAAGACAGGATTTAGATGAACATTTATTTTTACGTTCTTCCAGAGAAGATGTTAATAATTTTATGACACGAAACATCCTCGTCTAAGTTTTAAAATTAATGTGCATCATATGATTAATGATAATTGTTGTGATGATCATCTTTGGCACAGATCAATGGACAGGGTGGGGAGTTAACTCAAAACTCAAATTCAAACTCATTTTCCAATGAGTTTTGAAATGAATTTGAGTTAAAATTCCGTTACAAAATGAGTTTGAAAATGAATTTGAATTTAACTCATTTTTGAAAATGAGTTTTTTTTTGAGTTTGAGTTTAAACTAATTTTTCAAAATGAGTTGGAAAATGAATTTGAGTTTAAACTCATTTTCAAAAGGAGTTGAAAAATGAATTTGAGTTTAAACTCATCTGTAAAATTGAGTGGAGTTTTGAATTGGAGTTTTAAAAACTCCCTAAATTCCTTTTCATATAAAATTCATCTCTGAAACTCTCAACGATTTTTTTAAGAGTTGCCACTTTTGCCTGAATTTCTCGAAAGGATCATTCCATAATTGTTGCTGATTTGACTTGCTGCATATTTTGGATGTTTTGGTTGCAATTCTGTTCAGAGTTTTTGGAAGATAATGAAGGAATAAGAGTTTATGGATTTGAGGAAATGACTGGATGACAAAAATGTTCATGCATTTGCTGTACATTTTATTACTGGATCTTTTGGTTCCAAATGTTTGCAATAAATGTTAAAGTAAGCAATGATTTTCAGAACTTTCACAGAAAAATGTTCATTATGCGATTCTTTCACTTACTGTGCCATTATGGCTTTAGAAAAGGATGTCCACGTAACTGGACATGATCATTCATGACTGGATGTAGCTGCATATGAAGATCCGATCACTTACAATGCTTCAAAAACTTTTTTTCAGCAATTTTCAGTAACCAAGTGTTCCAAATTGTTTAAAATAACACAGAGGATCCAAAGGCATTGGAACTGCCTGGTTCCGTTACATCCATAAAAAAATTTTTTGTTCCATTTTCATCAAGGAATAACCTCCTGAAACAAAAAATTTTTTTGAGGAACCGACCAGTTCCTTTAGTGCCTGGAGACTAAAAATGCTAAATATGAAGTCAATTAGCATGAAGCACTATTTCTGAGCATTTTTAGTCTCCAGGCACTAAAGGAACTGGTCGGTTCCTCAAAAAAATTTTTTGTTTCAGGAGGTTATTCCTTGATGAAAATGGAACAAAAAATTTTTTTATGGATGTAACGGAACCAGGCAGTTCCAATGCCTTTGGATCCTCTGTGTTATTTTAAACAATTTGGAACACTTGGTTACTGAAAATTGCTGAAAAAAAGTTTTTGAAGCATTGTAAGTGATCGGATCTTCATATCCCGAGTGGACAAAGTACTAGTTAAAAGCTTGCCATTGACTTGCCTTTTCACGGCGAGTAAGTATCCATTGACGTGCCTTTGCAACTAGACTTAGGGACGACTAATGACATATTTTGCGCTTTCCATTTAACTGGACATAGGAATTGCAAATATGTCTAGTTAATGTCCAGTTACAAAAAAATCGAAATAAAATAAATAACACGTGTCTTTTTCTCCATATTTTTTTCTTTTGTAAAATTTTATTATTGTATTAGTGTAATTAATTAATTAAAGTACACTATCACTTATGAAAAATCTCTAGTAAAAATTGAGTCTCGAACACTTGTGCGTGAAACAATTATATTTACTTAAAAGTTTCATACAAATTTTGGTGGACCTTATATAAGTGATTTCTGTAAGCGCTTGTGAAGTATATGGTCAAAAAAGTAAGGAAAATTATTTTTGAGTTTCGAACACTTGATTGATTAGCATGAATGTCCAGTTAAAGTCTAGTTAACGTATAGTTCTCTATATCGTATATATTTCGACAAGTTAAAAGACTGTTAAATGATTGTCCAATAATGGACTTTAACTGGCTGTGTCCACCCGGGTATGCAGCTACATCCAGTCATGAATGATCATGTCCAGTTACGTGGACATCCTTTTCTAAAGCCATAATGGCACAGTAAGTGAAAGAATCGCATAATGAACATTTTTCTGTGAAAGTTCTGAAAATCATTGCTTACTTTAACATTTATTGCAAACATTTGGAACCAAAAGATCCAGTAATAAAATGTACAGCAAATGCATGAACATTTTTGTCATCCAGTCATTTCCTCAAATCCATAAACTCTTATTCCTTCATTATCTTCCAAAAACTCTGAACAGAATTGCAACCAAAACATCCAAAATATGCAGCAAGTCAAATCAGCAACAATTATGGAATGATCCTTTCGAGAAATTCAGGCAAAAGTGGCAACTCTTAAAAAAATCGTTGAGAGTTTCAGAGATGAATTTTATATGAAAAGGAATTTAGGGAGTTTTTAAAACTCCAATTCAAAACTCCACTCAATTTTACAGATGAGTTTAAACTCAAATTCATTTTTCAACTCCTTTTGAAAATGAGTTTAAACTCAAATTCATTTTCCAACTCATTTTGAAAAATGAGTTTAAACTCAAACTCAAAAAAAAAACTCATTTTCAAAAATGAGTTAAATTCAAATACATTTTCAAACTCATTTTGTAACGGAATTTTAACTCAAATTCATTTTTTGAATTTTGAATTGTGAGTTAACTCATGAAATTCTCCCCACCCTGTCAATGGATTAACATTATTGGAATTAAGGAGACTATTAATGACGTCAATTTATTTGAAGTCCTGTTTGAAGTTTTTGAGTTTATTTTTTACTGGAAAGTCAGCAAACATGATCTCTATTTACTCGCTTGAAGACTGTTTCATGAAGTGATTATTGTTCTATGGGCCCTTCACTTATTACGTTACGCAAAAAAACGACTTTTTTCACCCCCCTCCCCCCTTGTTACAATATGTTACAACCAGGGTGGGTGATTTAAATCAAAAATCAAAATCAAAATCTTTTTGCAATGATTTTAAAAAGGGATTTTGATTTAAATCATTTTTGCAAAGGGATTTTTTTTTGGGATTTTGATTTAAATCATTTTTCAAAGGGGTTTTTTGGGGATT